AAACCTGTGCAACCGATAAACTTTGTATTTACGGAAAAAAAAAATCCTTTCTGTAAGCCGTGTAGGTATGTACTTTCTGTACACATGAGCGTTAAATGTAGGGGTTTTATTATGATTAGGCTAAAATTTACGCCGAATTATCTCTCTCTCCGAACTTAAATACTTGCGAAGCGAGACAAATATAAAGATGATTTGTACGGGGGAAAAGTCCCCTTTTCTATTGTAAGGTCCTTAAATTCCGCTGACTATTACTGACCAAATAGATAAAGTTTATACGCTTTCACCTACAACTTTATTCACGTCAAATTTTTAGCCTATTTATACATTTATTTAAGTACCGTAATGTTATATATAACACCCATAGCAAATTTAATTCGATTCAGCGTAAAACGAAACAGACTTCCAAATAATGAGTCCGTGTTTCGGAACTCGCTTGTCGTAAAACGTGCAAGGTCCCACGTAGAGCTATTATTTTTATATTTATAGAAGTGAAAATATTTGTCCTATTCCATAGGTAAAAGAAAAGGTTTTTATTGAAAACGGGGTACAAAATTTTGGCTGGTTTTAATTAATTTACAAGATAAAATCAATCAAAATACTTTTGTTTGTTTGTTCCTGTGGAAATTGTGAAAAAAATCATTTTTAGTATATGTCTACACCACCTAGAGCCCTAAGCATATTTTACCTACGCAGAAGTTAATCATAAACATGACAGACCAACTAAGAGACGGCCTCTACGTTCTGCGGCGTAGAAACGATGACGGGTAGAATCTATGCGTCTTTATACAAGAGAGGGATCAAGTTTATCTACAAATCTCCTTATTAATTCGGCCAATTATAATAAAATATAATAATCTAATTATTATACTAACAGCCCGATCAGGGTTCGTATATATTTTTTTAATTAAAATATAGTCCTTGTTACTCGCTGTTAATAGGGTCGATTCTGAAGTGCCTTATTTAGCGCCATTATCTAAAACTATCTCTAAAATTAAAATATCAATTTGATATCACTTCAAAATCTTTATAATAAGGACCAATATAAACTAATTCTCTGACAGATTTAAGTTACAATTATTATAATTTTCAACCGATTTTTGGTTTATGATGATGCATAAAATAGTAACTTCGGGAAATTAACAAATTACTTTATATTATTAGATAGATGTAGAGCAATGACGCCTCAGAATCGGCCCCAATATAACATTCTATAGATTATTTTTTTAATTTAAGTATTTTTCGAATTTATCAGCAAAAAAATCAAATATTTCCTCTGTGTAATACTTACTTTAGCCGTTTTATGAGTAGCTGTATCCCGTAATTTTACCCATATACGCTGCTACGAAATGCTGGAACAATCTTCCACCGCCAGTTAGGAACGCCAAATCATTATTCACCTTTAAAAAACTATACAAGAATTATCTATGTACTATTTAACCTATAAATCTTACGGCAAAGTAGTTGTATATATATGTTTAATGTTTATATTTATTAATGTTATTTTATTCTATTTTGTTCTTTCTAGTATATGTAATTGGTTTGTATTTATTAGTTGTAATTTTGTTTTAATTATTATCATGAATATTATAAATAGTGCCCTCTCTCTCCCCCCCTTTTATATATATATTTTTGGTGCCACTGAAAACCAGCTGTATGTTCACCTAGGACATACATTAAAGCTGAGTGGAGCCATTTCAGTGCATTTTTGGATGTAAAAATGATTATTTTATGTTTATTTTTAATTATGGTAAATTAAGTTTAATTATATGTACATTTTATTTGCTCATTTTTTTTTCTCGTTTGTTGTTTATATTGTATTTTTTACATTGCACTGAATAAAATATTTTTCTTCTTCTTCTTCTTCTTCCATATGAATCAGTATATAATATATCCTGTACTCTAAGTAAATGGATTCGAACCTAGCAAAATAATATTTATTGTATTCATAAACGTATTTTCTTGTGTCAGTCTGGGCGTTTTCTATGCTTTATTAAAATACATTTAGGTATTATGTCTCATATCTACGGAATAATCTCTGCTCACTTTATCTCAATGGCGCTACTTAATATCCAAGTTTATTTATACAATATTTTATTATTCTAAAATTTATTTTCTGGAAAATTAATTTCTACATTTAGACATGCGCATTAGAATACTAAATAAGTACAACAATAAAATTATTTCCCTAATACAACTTCCTCCTTCCACCCCATTGCCTATTCAGGTGCGTTAGGAAAAAGTGCGATCGATGCAAAGGACTTGAGGCGACTCGGCGGTTGGCTTGCACTGAGTGCATAGGGCCGCCAGCGGGTAAACGCCTACCCGCCTTAAGACGTGCGTTGCCCTTGACTCTGCGTTCATCTCTTCTCGAGTTATGTGCGCCTAGTAACGTGAATAAAGTTTTTGTGATTTCTAATTAAAAAATATAACAACCATAAGAACTCTTATAATGATGTTTCAAAGTGATTAAAATACGGATAATAACGGTGAAATTAAGAAAAAGATGTTATTGAATTCTTATTATAATCAACTGTGGGATCTTGGCGTAAGTTTGAGCAGTTTATTAAATAAATATATGTTGTTCTTGGATATTTTTTTTTACATTAAATTAATACCAGATGTAGAGATACGGTTTATCAGACTTTGATACAAATTATATCTCATACAAGTCTATATATATATTTCTTCAACATTGCCAAATATGTCGCAAAATCGCCATATAACTACGAGTATAAAATCTTATTATCTGCGCTAACATTCGTTTATTTGAAACAATTTATTAACAAGATATTTATTTTATAATTAGATACCCCAGTTTTTACTGAAATTCATTGTGCCTGCTGAATGAGCATGTATTAATTATGTCCTCCGGGATACTCGTTATTAAATGGCGGGAATGTACAAAGTAAAGATATTAATTTAATTTTACTTTTAAAATACATAATTTTTACCGGTCTCAAAAACAAAGATGTTCTCAAGTGAATTGATTTTTTTTTTGTGTAACATCATTAATTTTGTTTTAATATTACGATATTTCTTTTAATAATGATTTTTTTTTAATGAATAACGTTTACTCCCAATTTTATTTTATCACAAATTTAGAAACAATCTTGTTTCTACATTTTGTTTCTACATCTTAAACTGCTTATGTGGCGTCAATATACATTTTTACCCTATTATTGTTACCCCAACTTATGCAAACCCCAGTTTAGGTGAGTTTGTTTTTAATCAGTGCATGATAAGACCCCTCCGAGGATTTCCCCGTTCTATTATGTCCCTTATCTTTGTCCCCTAACAATGGCAAAGGGAAATGAGAGTGTTATACCAAGCATTTGAAATGCCGATACGATGTAAGACACGTAATACGCAGGATGATGGTACTGGTGAATAAATTCAAATAACATGTTTTAAATTAGTTGTTCAATATTTCAAAAATAAACACAATTAATTTACAAAGTATTTACATGAACGAAAAATCGACTTAAAAAAAATTTCAAAACACAGTAACGAACAAGAATTATTAGTAGATTATTCGTATAGTATATTCTTGCCGATTTCTTGCCAAGTTTTTTTTTTTTTATAATGTGCGATTAATAACAATTTTTTAATTGTCTTTAAAGTAACTTATCTGCTTGACATGCCACATATAATAGATATTTCAGGCAAGTTACTTTTGGTCGTTTATTTGAAATAGTAAGTATTAAGAGCGATAGTTTTTGTCAATTACAAAAAGAGGAGATTTGACTGCAGAATTTTTATATAGTAACACGATATTATCTCCAATTAAAAACCAATTTTCAAACAATAATTCTTTTTAATCGAAAAATATACAACTATGATAATCGCATACTATTTTTGTTTTTTTTAAAATAACGATGTTTTCATAATTAAATTAATTATTTAAATTAATTAACGACAATGTCATAAAAACGAACCTGAAAAATAATAATTCAGTGATTTAATATATAATAAACATAAATTTTGAAAATATTTGGGCATGATATGCTCTGTCATTTGATAGCTGTATAGTAAGATTTGAAAAAAAAAATATAAACGGAAAAATAACTAAAATTCCCCCAAATCGTAAGTACCAGTCGTTGACCTTTCCCAAACAATACTTATAGGGAAATCTGATTTGGAAATGTCCGTTTCCCTACGACGGACACGGGGTTCATTGAACCCACCGCCTGCCGATTTTGAGCAATTAAGCATAGGGTGTCTACGTGTCGCGGAATGAAAGTCGGGACCAAGGGGGCTCTCACTTTCTCCGGGGTGAATGCACTGTCGGGGGTGGCCACCCTCGCGCGACCCTCCCTCAAGCCCTCCGGTCGCATCAAAGACACTCATTGAAGGCGATGTAATTCCGCCCTTACTTGACGGGATATGCTTATGCAATTACAGAAACGAAAAAAGTTGTTTCATACTTTCTTTACGGAACGAAGGGACTTACGTACTAAGTATTTTACGAAAATATTTTAAACAGTAATCATACACATTGTCATACTATCATACTGTACAATTGACGTCTTATTACTGGGCACTGATATTGACAATTACCCAGTAATGTAACGTCAGTGCAGAGAACTCTTATAAGTGAGGGATCTTAGTCTACTATTACCATAACAGTAGGCTAAAATCACTCTATATTTCTGGTTTAGTATAGCATTTCATTTCGAATTTTCCTTCTTTATAGTAATATGACTTATTGTCAAATATATGATAGTATCTGACAATAGTTTATAAAATTAAATAGATATATCTTAATCAAAAATAGAAATTAAATATAGATAAAAAAAGTACAAGGCACAGGTTACCCTAATTTATAAGCTAGGACAAAAAATATGTAACAGTGCAACCCTGTATTTGTTAATAAAGTTTTATTATTATTATTATTCATACAAACATAAATACGTGTCACGATGGAATAAAACCAAAATACCTATATATGCCTAATATACATCACATATACAACATAAGTAAATGTAAATTCTAATTTACAGGATGGAACGGTGAACATGGATAAAATGACGGAGGCACAAAAAACTGCCTACCTGGAAGCGCATGTAGCTGTACAACAACACATGGCTCAGGCAGCGGCTGCGGCTCGCCGTGAGCAACAACAACAGCAGCAGCAACAACAACAACAGCAGCAACAGCAACAACAACAGCAACAACAGCAGCAGCAGCAGCAGCAACAACAACAACAACAGCAGCAGCAGCAACAACAACAACAGCAGCAGCAGCAGCAACAGCAGCAACATCAACAACAACAAAATATCAACTCAAATAACAGACATCATCAAGAAATGCAAGTAAGTAATCTGAATTGATTCCTAAATCAAATTTGTGTTCCATAATTTAAATTTTAAATAATAGCATCAACAACATTAACAAAATACACTTAAATACAAGAAGTACTGATGAGCAGTTTTAATCGATTAGATTTTTTAAAATTGTTTTTATGCGAGTTACTTTGTATAGATTGGATTTTCGAATGCGTCATTTTGCGAATAGAAACAGAACTTCTCTGAATCGGTTCGAGTCTGTGTATTCAGGATTCTACCCCTAGTTGCAAATTACGTGTTAAATTACCTGGCCTTGGATTAGAATTACTATTTTGTGGCATTTATTTATGCTATCACGTTAACACTTAGTTAACTCAAGAAAAAAATAAAAAATCTTAATATTTATAGGATATTTTAATATTATTTATGAAAATTAAAGTTGGCATTACTAATATGTTGATATTGTCTGTTCTGATGATGAACATGACTTAGTTACGTTTAATTAACTGAACAGGTTTGAATTACTTTTGATATACGTATAAACCATAGGTATTTAAAAAATTCTAAATATTAAAGAAATATCTGTAAATGTGTATGTAATATTAATTCTAATACTTGTTTCCTAATTCACGAGGAATCTTTGCAGAATACACCTAGTATTTGATTGACTTCAAAAAGAGAAAATAATTCTTAAGTCGTCTATACATTTGTGTTTAAATCGTAAAATCTAAATTTATATCAATAATTCCTTTCACAATTGATAAAGTTTATTTCTTTTTAGTCCTATATTAATGTTGTCATAACTGAAATTTATTTTTTGGAACAAAAACTTAGATTGCTATTTACAAACAACAGGCGCAAACCGGCAATGCTCACCCCGGCCATCCATCGCCACCAACAGTTAGCTCTACGCAACACCATTATGCGACTATCAATTCACCCATCAAGGTACCTCAAGTGAGCTCCAGTACAGGCGGACCAGACAGCACGTTCACCGTACCTGATGATGTCGGCATGGGATTCGAAGGAGGAGTACGGGTATTACAAAGCCTTGGTAATTGGTAAGTATATACTTAGTACTATGTTTAATTAAATATAATAATATATAATATTTTTTAAAATATAGATCTAAAAAATATCGTCTACTTTAAAATGTATATTACCAGTACATACTATTTTATGAAATAATCAAATATCTAAGAATTTAATAAATAGAATTATAAATGTATATTTACAAATTTTATATTATTTTTTTGGTAATGAAAATAATACAGAATAAAAATGAACCAAGTTTCTAACAAACCCATTTCTTGTTTTTTTTTGCATCAATTTAACTGCACTACATGCACAGAAATTAAAAATTATTAAAAATGTGCATAAGTTTTAACAATATCCTTTGTTTAAAAGTAGTTATAAATAACTACATATAATAGTAATAATAGTCTAATGCCAAAAATTAAGTATATGCGTATTTTTTTATCTTTATGAGACATCAAAACAAACTTATCACATATAAGTAAATTCTCTAATCCATTTTACATACAAAAATATCAGAAAGCAATCAAACTGATAAAAGAAAGGCCATGAAGATAATAAATTCATTGTTATTAGGTCACCGGAAGTAACCAATAATATTCCGAGACCAAATTTGATTCCATTCACGGAACCATACGCCGAAGGTGGTTCCATGCATCCTGGAACCAGGCTTAAAGCATTGCAAGGCACAGCGGTGAGAAAACATCCGGCTATTAAACCGACGAGTTCAACTAACGAAGGTATAAAATACATATTCATTAATTTATTTATTTACTCTATATTGCATCGGTTAATTAGTAATTCAAAAATATTCATTACAGTCCGCATCAAAGCACAAATGGCGGCTAAAATATCTTTACCAAATAACCTTAAAATAAATGAATGAATAGAAAATATTGTTTTCCGGCATCAAAAAGAAAGGTTATAAATTCGATTTGCGTCACACGATATCATTACTCCTTATCAGTTACTCCTTATCTATTTAGTATTATGTTTATTACGTTTGCAATCGCTTTTTCTTATAGAAAAAATCTTAATTTAAAATATTAGATGGAGTTTAGTGAATTTTGAATTCATCTATTCCAAACAGTCTCTAAAAACCCCGTAGTAAATTTATATATTTGAAAATGACAAGTCGATAAAACTTGTTAGAGACGATCATAATATTAAAACAGTTCATATATTTCCAAATAAAACATAACTGTGGATAATTATATAATTCGTCTTTTCAAACGACTTCAAAAAGGAGATTCTTAATTTGGGTAAATTCATTTTATGTTTATTACCTCATAACACCGTCAGTACTAAACCGATTTGAAAAATTCTTTACTTTTGTCAAAAGATTAATTTTTTAACAAAATCGATGTAGTAGTTTAGTTTAAAATCAAAATAACTCGTTTTGCTACAATTGAATTTTTTTCTCTTTTGCGCAAAACAATTACATTTTAATTGAAAATAACATTGTTTCAGGAAGCAAAGCTTTTGAATGCACTGTTTGTGGGAAAGGTTTAGCAAGGAAAGACAAATTAACTATACACATGAGGATACATACAGGTGGGTAGTGCTGATGTTTTTATGTATTTATAACCTTCAATCCCAATAAAACTTTATCGTAACCATTTGTTCGTATTACCATTTGTCATACTTTTTTGTTATATTATTTTATACCACAATGGTGGCAAACAAGCATAAAACCTGTCTGATGGTAAACGGTCACTGTAGTCTATGGAGGCCTGCAACACCGGGGGTGTCACGTTCGCGTTGCCGATCCTGAAGAAACCTTAGTATACTTTACCTTAGTAACCCTTAATCTCACGTCATATGACATTTTTATGTAAAAAGGTAACCTACCTGTCTCAAAAAATCAAGATATAGCCTACGATTGCCACGAGATTTTATTCCGAATATTCATTCTCTTGTAGTGATCGTTGCTATTCCTCTATTTGCCGCTTACAATATTCTGATGCTGATAATAAAGTGTGACGGAACGGAACATAATATTTTTGCTTCGTAGTTGAACAAATAAGCACTAGATATATCAAATATCTTCTGAGCTGTAAGACATATAAACTTATTTTCCACTCTGAATGTCTGTATCAGAATCAAATATTGCATTAATTTTTTTTTGCAACTTAGAATAGTAAACAAAATGACGGGTCACCTAATGAAAATGGACATGAACAATACCATGAACATAACAGAGTATACTGTTTCGTCCGTGATACCCCTCTGCGTTGTGACTCCTGAGAACGAAGGCGTTATGCCTCGGTACCCTGTAAATTTACTGTCATATTCCACCCTTCAAACCGAAACACAACCATGAAAACAACTGCTTCACAGCAGTAACACGAATGGGACAGAGGTACCCAAGCAAACGACTTTTGTACAGTCTCCAGCTAGTAAAAAATTACATACAAATGTTTGCAGTTGCATTACAAATATTTACTTGTAAGTACCTAATATACAACATAGTCAATATTAATATTACATTTTATTTATACAGGAGAAAAGCCCTACGTGTGCGAGGTATGCAATAAAGCATTCGCCCGTCGAGATAAGCTCGTACTCCACATGAACAAATTAAAACACATCACCCCTTCTAATATCGCGCCACTAGGGAAACGCACTATATCAATACCACGTGAGTGTTACATATTATCTATGTTCCCATTCGTAGTTGGATTAAGCTGTGAATCTTTTATAGAAATATTATTAAAATGTGAAAATCATACGCTAATACTGTATAATCGGACAGAGTTTGAACACGTACCTTTGATAGCATACCAAAGCCAGTGTCGTTTTTTTTCAGTCAGCTTCACTGACTGATTTAATATTTTTATTTTAATAAATTTTTTATAACAATTATTGACAAGTGTCTAATCTAAAAATATAAATTTGAAATAAAAGTTACCATTGGTGTAGCTAAAGAGCAATGCGACCTTACATTCATCAAAAAGATGCCTTAGAATATTGATAATTTTTTTGGAAAGATTTCCGAGAAAAAACGAATTAATCTTTTTCCAAAAAAAGTTTATAGTTTTCTCATCAGGTTTATTGAAATCGAAAACTTGAGATGATTAATCAGCTGAATTACTGTGCCGTTTAAGATAAATCCTAGCAACGCCAATGTTTATAAACTTCTAAAATTGGACTATTTAATAAAGTTTTTTTTTTTTTATTGAAACATAAACAACCACAATACAAATAACCACATGTGAAGATTTTTTTATTATAAACATTCTCTCTATATGACATTATTAATTTACCAGACATCAAGATGTAACAAAGCGCATGTTTCAGATCTTGATGACAACCCATCATTTTCAGCGTTAAAACTGGACGATGTAAAGCCACAACTAACAAAGCAGGAGGATACAAAACCGAGCCAGGCTGAAATAGCAGCCGCTGCTCAGCAACAACAACAGCAGCAACAACAACAACAACATTCTCACCAACAGCCGATCCAGGTGTGCCAGGTACCTGGACACAGCTTTACGGTAATTCCACTGAGAATTTATGGCATGGTCGTGTAGTGTCGTCGTCGTGTTTCTCATTTGTAACGTAGTGACTATTGTGTCATTTTCTTAAGCTCATTTTTTTGGTAAGGTTTTTCGAAGAGCAAAGATACTAACTCCCTTATTCATAAAAACGTCAAACCTTTCATAAACCTATTTTAGATATTAAACTGTTGTTTTTTTTATACCACTGAGGTGGCAAACAAGCATACGGCCCACCTGATGGTAAGCGGTTACCGTAGCCTGCAATACCAAAATGTTGTGTGTTTCTTCTGAGTTAAATACCTAATTTAGAAAATATTAAAATTTAGAATTATTTAATTATTTTTTTAATTATTTTTATTTATAATTTTTTTTAAAGTGACAAAACAGTGTAATAGTTAAAATAGATTTGTTAGAGGTTTTAGTTTTTATGAATATAACGGTTTCTTTAGCCGTTTATTCCATTTGAGATCCAATGAAGAATTATTATCTTTTTACATTTCATATTCGTTTTTCTTCCTATATGGTTTTGTGAATTACGAGCTACTAAACTACGATCGGTTCTATTTATTAATTTATCACATTAGATTAAATTTTATCTTCCGATACCAAAGTAGGTATATCCTAATTTATTTTTCTTCTTTAAAAACATTCATCTATCGATATTCATCGTTAGCAGTTTACTTCCTAACCGTACCTAATCAGAAACCTAGTGTAAGAATTTATAAAACTGAATATTTTTTTCTAAGAAGGTGTCTGTTAATAATAATTAATTATTATTAGTTAATATGAAAATAAATTTGAAACATTTCGTATAAAATAAACAACGTGTTTATTTTGAAAAAAAAAACCCACTCGAAGTCCCAAGGAGAACAATGGATCACTAGATTTCTGGTTGGTACGTTTTTAACTAAAACATAGAAGTGAATTTAACATACAGTTTTCCTGTATGATTTAAGAACACAAACCTGGTCCACACGAGCGCTGCATCGGCTGCTGTAGCGGCCGCCACCGCTGGCATGGTGGTGTCATGGTCATGTGAACTATGCGGGCGATTGTTCGCTACAAGAGACGAGTGGAGTGCACACGCTAAATCGCATCTACCTGACAATAAATTGCTTCAAGACAAGATGCAGCAGGCGACGCAACATCAGGTGAGTGCTGCCAGTGTCAAAATTGTTTAATGGCCACCCCAGGATCAGGAGCTTTCAGCTGTGAGCAAAAACATATCTAAGCACTACATTGCGACATTTAAGTTAGCCCAATAAAAAATAAATACAATGAGAGACACATTAATGTACTATACAAAGCCGGGGCAGGTCGCTAGTATTTTATAATAGAACTTAAATCACCTTTAATTATTTACAGCAACAAGAGAAGGTCCATCTATCGAATCAGGAGAAACTACAGTTGTTACATCACCACAATCAAAATCAACAAATACTAAATGGGCATGGCATCGCTACCGCATCAGTGTCCACCGCTGCTGTCGTCAACGAAGGGGGAGGTGGCGGCGGCGGAGGGGCATACTTCACCCACGGTCACACACACTACGCCCCGGAGAGACAGCACACACACGCGCATCATCTATGTCTCATGTGCAGACAGGAGTTCGCCGGCAAGGCGGAGTTCATGTTCCATGTAAGAGGACACTTCGAAGGTAAAGTGAGTGATATAGCAGCCGCTGATGTGTTGGCACGATCTCTAGTAGACAATTCTGGACTGTGCACCTGAGCCACGCCTACGCCCATAAGCGCATTCCACACAGATGCCTGCGGTAAGGGCGTCTTTCAAGACGACACTATCATGTTGAAGTTTTGAAACGAAATGTGACAAGGGTAACGATCTAAATAATAATAATATAAGCATAATTTATTAATATCTGTGCCCACAGTTCTACTGATTGAGAGATCATAGTAGTTGCTGGTGTCTATGATGTGCTCTCTGTTCTATAATTTTGAAATAATTATCTATGTGTCTGATCTACATGTGTGCCCTATAATGGATTCCAAATAGCTTTTTAAATTTTGGAAACCAATTGTGACAAAGATACTAAGAATCTAAAAGATTTAATATACAAGATTATAAACATAATCAGTAGGATCGTGGGTGCAAAATTTAATTATTTTATTTAGCATGTAAATGCCAGTTTTGTTGGCACTTGATAGAATTTGTATTCATCTATAGAATGAGAATATCGATGAAATCGGTTAGGGCATAAAATGAATATGACAAAATCTCTGCAAAAGTGCAAGTGTTCTCAATCTATAGAGAAGAATAATAAATATATAAAATTACAATTAAATATAATAAATAAATATTTATTACGACTTATAATACTAGTCTCAGGTTGAAGACCACGAAGTTGCTCATATTTCACCGAGAAAATATTATTTTGAAATGTAATTCAGGCAGTAGCTTACTTTCTTCTTTTGAATTCCTTAGATAGCTAATAAACTATCTACTACATTGAAACTCACAACTACATGAGTATTTTTGAGTTTATAAAGTTTCTATTAACTTACTAATTCAGAATGCCCTAAAAATTACTATAATGAGGCTGGATATATTGACGGCTCTAACTAAGAATGGAATGAAATCTGAAGTAGTTCAGAGAGATAATTTCATCTATTTACTTTGCATTTTTACCAAAACATTCTTAAGCGATTGTAAAAAGAAGCAGCGCTTTATAAAAGCAATCAAATCAATTTTACAATCAGTATGTACCAATTTAAACATTACAATTCTAATTTTTTTAATTAATATAAGCCACATATATATCGTTAATAAGTTTTAAAATTGATTAATAGTAGGCACCTACCTAAAATGCTTCACATGTTTGTGTTACATTATCAAAAAAGAAACAAAACATTGTATTTAATTGATAGCAGCATTTAGATACCTAAATATAATTTAGTTTAGTTCATGACAGAATTTATTTCATCTATTATATAATTATCCTACTCGATGTTTTAATTTATATTTGTCCAATCATTATTTTTAGGTGTCGATTTTTATTTCTTTCGCAAAACTTATTAATTGAGAAAGTTGCTCTTTCTTTTTTGCTTAAATTTCAAGGTTTAACTGATATGATGATATTTTGTATCGATGCACTTTAAACTCAAGGGAAACACTATTAGTTTAATAAAATCCTAAAAAGATAAAATGAGATGAAAGAACTTTGTAATAAACAAAACATATTGCTTACATACTGTAGATACTTGAGATGTGGCATTTTCATCATCGTTGCATAACAGTTCTAAACTCGGGATGTAAAAGTTAGTTATCTATATTTTCAATAAAATATCAGCCTATGCAGCATGACGGTAATATGTTGTAGATAACTACATGACATGTTTTATTAGTTATAAAATCCACAACGTAATGTCTACGTTGAGACTTTATAACTGCAATAAAACAATCTCTCACTTAAATATTTGTAGATATAGGTAAGACATTAGATTAGTGCAGCTAGAAAAACCCATTGTATAAATGTATATATAGAGTAGAAATAATGAAAGAAATTATCTAAGAAAGTTTAATAGAATCCTATAATGTCGCTTTACTTACATTATAATTTTAGGACCTCTTTACACTTGGTTCAAAGCATAACGCATGTTTAGGGAGTTTTGTAATTTTCTTAAAAAATAAATATTTGTTATCTTTGCTCAATGTGCAAAGGGTCCATTAGAAATTAGAAATATAATATATTCTAGTCATTGCTTCAACGGATGAGTGGATCTAGTCATTTGTAATATAGTATTGAATCCTAGTCATTAATGTTTAATATATTATTTTTATATGTAGTTTAATATATGTACTTCGAACATAATTATGTAAATGAGGTTGAGAACAGTTAGATTGATCAATTATCTTATCAGTGTTTGCGATCATATTGATAAAGTTAACTAAATTTGCTATAACTAACCTACTTTCGAGACTTTTGATTTTTATAAAAACTGCAACTAAAATGTACCTATTTGAGACAAAACTATTATAAAAAAGTCAATTTTGTTGAAACCGGAATACTCAAATATATTGAAATGAATACATATAAATACAATTGGACAAATTACGCAGCGTTGTCTAGTCCCAAATTAAGTAGAGCTTGTAGGTACCTGCTACAGTTTTAAGTATTGTGGTACCAAATATAGTTTAATAAACCCAGATACGAATTTCAATAAGGTACATGACATATTTAAGACACATTATGTATAAGATACGATTATATTTAGATACAACTTTAGATAAGTATTCGGAAGTACTGCAATCATAATTTCATGAAAGTAGAATATCACAATTTTGTTTAGATAAATTCATATGCCAAATGATCATATACATACTAGTATACGTATATGATTGCATCCTAATTTTCATTGCAAAACTAGAATATGATTGGTTCACTACTCATATACTCATACATCGCACAATTTTTTACTAAAACTAGTTTTATGTAAGAAAGTAATTTAATCAGGTTGAAGTGACGTGAAATGTTATGATTAGTAGCGTATTGTGTAAGAGCCTATTTAGCTATTCGAAAATTAGTACAACTTCAAGTTCAAAAATTCCGGACTACCGAAACTAGTTCTGAAGAATTTTATTTCCATTCTACTTGAAGTACAGATTGTAAACTTCAAAAACTATAATAATTACCTACTATTAGTTACTAAATTCTTCCACAACTAATGAGTTTGTACACAATACACGCTTATTATAATTCTAAAATATTGTATTGTAGAAGAAAGAGAACAAAATAAATCGTAACTGACAGTTAATTATGCATATTGCTCTCAATAGGTAATAAAATATTTTTTTTAACTTTATTAAGTAAATTTTTCGAAGGCTTTTTTAAAAAAGTCTTCAAATATATTGATAAATATACTGTAATAACTGACATTCTAATTTGATTTTATTTAAACATGTTTTATCTGTCAAAATGAGTGCGAGTTGTACAAGGATTTATTTTACGATCATATTTACGTTAATGAATAGGTATGTATGGAAAGAAAAATTTCCGAAAACATCCGCTAGTGACGCAGCTAAATTTTCAATACGAATTATCAATGTAAAAGTGAACGTCAGTAATGACTTAAATCGATGCTAATCTCACAGTATTGCCTCTTATTATTATTTTTGTCCAATTATTTTTATTATAAAAATACATACATAAATAATTTTATTAATGGATCTTGATAAATAGATAATAGTGATTTAGTACTAATGATTTAGTTTCAATAGTAGTAATAATATATATTATACATATAGGTATGACAATGCTACCTATATCTATTAAAATCGTGTTCTTCCTTCGATTTAAATTAACCCAATGAATTACAAATATTTAATTAATTTATTCTTTTATAATTTTTTTAAGCACTTCATCAACTATTCTAATTCTCTAACTATTATCCTTTAGAATACAGTTTCTAATAACAATTTCATACTGTAAAATATTATTTTCTATGAGCTTTTAATACACAAGTAATCACGTACTTAATATTTATTTTTTCTGTTTTTAAAATTGTCAATACATAGGTACTTAAGTATTTTATAGCTACCTGTAATATTTCATTTGTCTCATAGTATGAACGAAATTGTAGATATACTCATACATTTTAATACACATATTAAATATAATTTACAAAGAACGCGAGACTTGGAAGTAGAAATATTTCTTCGATGTTACAAGAATAGATACATAGTAGATAGATACATAGTTGCAAAATTACATTAATTTAAATATTATTAATATAAAAAAGTAAAGTGGAAAAAATACATGTATATAAATGCCATGCGAAAATGTGAGAAAAGAAAGAAAATGTTTATTATACAAAAATTTAAGAAAGAAGGATTATGTTAATAAGAACTTAGTTCTTATTCATTAGTTAGTGTCACGAAAGAGCACTATAGAAAATCAACATTTTGTTAGTTCAGTAACTATATAAGAAAAATAATATGTTTCATAATAAACTTAGATGCGATCTCTGGAGCATGTAATATCAAAGAAGTATTTTGTGGTATTGGTGTGTGTTTGTGTGTAGGTTATAAGATGGTCCACTGTGTAATCCACATTTAGTCATTTAAGTTCAAACACAAACATATTGGAATAGGCTTTATTACCATAAACTTAACTACAACATTCGTAAGACTGAACAATATTCACAGCAACACGGTTTTTTTGTGGTTTTTTGTAGTATTATTAAATATATACTCGAAAAACTGAAAATTGAGGGAATCACACCATTCATAAACATAGAAAAAAAGTATTCAAGTTATATATTTATATATATTTTACTAATATGTCGGATTACAAAAATAATAATTTGGTATACTTTCAATTTAGTACTTCTATCAAGCTGAAACTAGATCTATACTTAGTCTGCCTAATCTCTTTCTACATTTTTTTATTGTTAAGGAAGCAAGGCTGGCCACCTAATGAAAAGCGGATTCTGTTGTCTATGGACACCTGCAACACGAAAGAAGTTGCTTGTGCGATGTCGGCCTTTTAAATGTTTTAAAGCTTGTTTTTGAAAAGCCTCATATTCTATTGTCTACGCTCATTCATATGTATTTGGCCATTAAGTAGCTGTATTTGTATTTTTATTTTGACGGATGAAGTCCATAACACTCTCATGCATAGGAACAGACGTATAAGGGGTACAATTAAACAATTTAACATCAATGATTCCATTCGAGTATAAGGGTCATTTACCACTTTCTTACCAATGTTCTCAGTGTTTTTCTAAGTTGACATTACTTAGTATAAATTATTATTGCGTTTGGAGCAACGGGACTAATGTGGATTGCACGTGGAATGTTTGTTGATGAAACAAATCAGAGCACGATGGAATGTTCAAAATTGATAGGTTTAGGAATGTAAGTGCCACGCACGCAACATAGGTGGGACATTTATGCAATACAGTATTGAATATATAACGTCTTTTAGTTTTAATCTTAGAATACTTAAGAGGTAGTAACAACTTGAAGAATCTGAACGTTGCAACTTCCTATCAAATTAAAATGGTAGTTTTTATTATTATATTTGCCAATTTTAAAATGATTTTCTATCTATTTGTAATCGTGTTTATTTCCATGTCGGCCCCGTACTAATTTTGTAAAAATTAAGTTAGTCTTTGTAAAACAAAACATTAATTGTATTTTCGTCGTATTTTTTAATAATTAAAATAATGTAAGTACCTTTCTGTAGGTAGGTACTGTATATTATGTAATGAATTACAATTATTGGTGTTATAATATAAATATAAAAGAAAAAAAATTGGCTTTCAAAATGATCTCAGATTCTAGTCATAGACAAACAAGCGTGTTATTAAGACAATACGCTCAACTTGTCCATAATGTATATAATGTCCACTGTAATAAAACATTATTAAGATGTGTTTGTAAATACTTAATTCAGATGATAAAGAAACATCATCTATAAAACTATAGTTAGTAATTAAGTATATAGGTAGGTATTATAATGTAATGATAAAATTATAGTTTATTAACACACAATTGATGAAGGAATTATTGTATATAATGAATATTATACTGGAATTACTATAGGTTTGTTTAAAAGATAGTAATAAGTGAAGATACAAAAAAGTATTTGGATATTTTTAAACGACGACATAACTGTGATTGCATTAATTTCCTCTGTAAAAGACGTTTTGTAAGACTTACAAAAATGTTATTTGTAAATAATTTTCGAGTGTTCTAGTCAATAATATTAGGAGCAATAACTTTCTTGCATATCTTTTATTAAAACAAAATTTGTATAAAAATATAAAATTTGTGCATGATGTAAGTATTGTAAAGTAGAAAGAGTTTTGAGAATAAAAACAAATAATCCATTTTGTGTTTTCATCATAAAACCTAAGTCTTACTTCTTTAAATAGGTATATCGCAAAACTGCTGGCATGAAACAAGTTTCTTATTGTTAAGTTCTTCAACAGTTCCATAGTAATTTGCAACCTCTAATTTCTTATTGCATATACAAGTTTCATGAAACCAAAACAGATTTCTGCGTCTTTCAATTTTTAAATAAGACTACTGATATACGACTAATTTAAGATAACCCTATAGTTTTTTAATAGTTATGATTTCATACATAAGGAATGAAACTAATTTCTTAAGTGAATTTAACATAGAAGTACTCGTATATTTTATGGTGACTTCATTATCATAGTTTATTTCATCAATGCTAATAGAGTCATCCATCAACTTACATGATCATCATTTATCAATCACATTTCTGTTTGTATTACATTGGTATTTTGGCAGTCAAAGTCCATGTAATGAGTAGCATAGTCAACATATTAAATCAGGTATTATTATTTGGCTTAGAAGGAATTTTTCGAAAGGAATAAGGGAAACCAAATATTGAAATAAAATGTCTAGGTAGTGACAAAGAAGATATCTACACATTGTGACTTTCTGATAGTATAGTAGTTACCTACTATATATATATATATATATATATTTTCTATACTTAATAAACTAAGCGCCTTACGTATAGGTACATTCTAATAATTGTTCTTTGTCAAAATCTTTATTTGTATATAGTTTGTTCTAATCATAGACTAAGTATAACGTATTTGTAAAGTTCTAATAATTTTTACCATAGACCATTTAAATATAATAGGACTAACCTTAGCAATAAGTACTACTAAGGTCATTCCTATTATATTTACTTATTGTAATGTATTGTTACTGGTTGAAAATCATTAAAAAAAATTATGAAAGATCTCGAGTTTTTCCATTTTGATGCGTCAAAACAATTGCAATGGCGGGTCTTGATACAAAATTTTAGTGTCTTTATTTTTTATATTTAAATTATGTGTTGATTAACAAATTATATGTAATATAAGAAGGTAAGTTAATTATTCTTTGTATATTCTTAATTCATATATATGTAATTATATTTATATTACTTAAACATGATTTAATTAATAAAAGAGATCACGTACATATCCATATTTCAATATGTCATAAGTCTAAAAATAATCTTTAATTCAGAAATTTCAATGATCCTATCATTGAGATATATATCTACATGTGTATTATATGAAGTTACGTAATATGTAGTAACATGATTAGTAATCCTGCAGTCGGTGTTTGTATTAAATAGATTAACACCCTAATTACAAACTAAACTCAACAGCCATACAGATAAAGTGCTTCTCTTGCAGTTAATTAAATTCTTACACGAAAAAACTTCATTATAGAGAAAAAATAATATAACAAGACCGGTGTAAGTGTACTTACAAATCCTTTTGATTAAAATATAAATCAATAAAATTGATAAAAATTTAGTAAACGTTTTGCGTAACGTGCACACACAAAAAGTGACATAAATAGGTACTTGAATTGATACAAAGTGATATAATGTAGTGTTTACTTAAACATTCTGTTTTTGTATTATCACAGCTAGTTAGCTGGTAGTTTGGCATTCTAAAAGTATAGCTAATACCAACTTTTTACTGAGTACTAACTTTATAGTGTAATTGAATAACTGGATGCAATAATACGGAATAAAAATCTTTAAAATAAATAAAACACCATAATTATGATTTAAGGAAATTCGATAATGTAATCAGACTCCACATATTTTTTTTTTATTTTTTTTTTCAGAATCGAATTAGTTAACATAGTGGAACAACATTACATAACATAATGGAACCTGCATGCCTTCGTGTACGATTTACGTCACTTTTAAAAAATCTATGTAAAAGTAATGATTCCAAATGCTGTTTAGAGATCGTACCAGAACTATCATGTATACAAAACTTGGACAGAATACAATGGAAACATGGTAGCAGCTCTATAGAGTGTACAATACCAATGAATTACAAAGTGATATTGAAAAATAAACAAATCTTAATAAATAAATTAGAAGATTCGAAACGAACTTATCACTCCTGTGTCGATTTATTACTACCATCGTCATTAACAAATATGGAAATAGGATCTGGAGATATTACTAGAATAAGTGATACCAACATATTGGACAAAATATCAACAAACATAAAGAAATGTGATGTAGTTCTAACAAATAAATCAAATAACTCTTTAAACCTAGAACAATACACAGTATTAATAAATAATTTGCAAACGTTAGAGATGAAATCATCAGACATTGATGAGCAAGAAATTTTTACTAAGGAGCAGAACAAAATAGAAGGTTATAGCTAACATTAAATTAATATATTGAATAAATTATAGCTCTTTTAATTTAGTCAAAAACAATTTTATTTCTATTTATTTACTTTTTTTATTTTAGAATTGAAAGATGAAAGTTCGCAAACTGTAACTGTTATTGATAATTTTTGCCGCACTGCTGTTGAATTAATTGATAAAACCACTAATACAGACTTAATTCATTTGATACATAATAAAAGAACCAAAACGGCTTTTTGTTCGTATGCTCTAGATAATGTGACGTCAGAAGAAAGTAATAAAAGTAAAGAGTCTAAGGCTAAACTTAGTTTAAGCCCTATATATTCTATCAATACAAAAGATAACATATTATGCACTGTAAGAAGTAGAACTTCAAATTATATTATTTTTCGTGTACAAGAATCACCAAACAAAGGTTTCACAGAAGTAATCAGCAATGAGTATAATGTATCTAATACATATTCAAATAGTTTTATCAACAGCAATAATCTGTTTGAAAATACGTTATTATATACTAAAAATAAAAGAATTTTACCTGAAGTTCGAATTGCTAATTTTCTACAAATAATGGAAAAAGAAATTATGCCTTTAAAAATAATGCTCAATGATATGATAAAGAAATGTTCATCATTAGGGTTTACTAAAACAGAGAAAAAATACAGGGATTCATTAATTTATAAAACTATATCAACTTATGATAATCAAATAGTCAAAAGTAATTTACCGAGAAGACAGACAAAATCCAATCGTGTCGTGTATTCGATAGTTTTTAATAAATAACAATTGTTTATGTAATTTCTATTTATTTTAAATTAAATATTAATGAAATTTTGTGTGCCAATTGAATTCATCTAACTTCACGTTTAAGATACGACAATAAAATTGCCCTTGCCATATTGAATCGAATACAGATTCTTAGGTAAAAAATAAGACCAAATTGCAGAGTTGAACTATTCGGTCACAGTTCTTCGTCTTCCCTATCAGCGATTAATAAAATGCTTCCGACTACTCCACCTGTGATAACAGTTATGAACTTATAAAATATATATATGTTTGTGAATGAACAATGAAACATACCTATATCAGAGCCCATGTTAAAAGGATCTTGAAAGAAGAAACTGTACGTGGAGCGATTTTGATTATTTCGGAATAATTCGATTGGTGCAATTCGAAACCTAATAATATGATTAGTTGAATTCTGTTAAGTCCTCTTTTTGTTCATAGCATTATTACTATAGGCATATATATAATAAGAAGGGGGGGGGGAGAATAGTCCGTGACTATTCTTAAAAAACTAGTTAGGAATTTATCCTGAATGAAGATTTATTATTATGAAGATTTTATTAATTTTAATGATTACATATTGTTTTGTAATAATGACATCAAGAAATCAATAGTACAGTTTCAGTAAAAAAATTAAAAAGTCTTCTAAATCTATTTTATTTGATTTTTTTGTGCAGGTGTGTATTTTTATTTATTTATCTATATTGAATAATTATGGGACAAACTAAAAGTAAGCGTTTTACAATATTATAGTATCCATGGACAACAGACCTGAAGTTGATAAAATTGCCCAAAGCCTAGCATTTAAAGTAGAAGCAACTCCACAAGATAATGGATTAGAAATAACAAGTACATCTAAGATTACTCCCCTAAATTTTAAAATTAGGATTCGAAAGAAAAATGAGGCTGCTGTACAAAAAGGTATTCTGTCAGTGCCCAAATTAAATGTTCCAGAAAGAATTCGCCTTATTAGTAGTGATCAGACCATAATGTCTTTTGATATGCTCATGGAAGCTGTTATAAATAAGAAATATTCAAGAAAAGCAACGCGAAGATTCTTTGGTAAGTTAATAATAATTGTAAAAATTCACATTTTAAATTTGACATTTCTTGTAACCTAATGAATGTTTGTTTATTATTTCCCATGTAGGAGGATGCTTTAAAAATGGGTGCGACCAAGACGACTCTCCTTATATAAAAAAAATATCCAAAAGTAAGCTTTATGGCGAAGATATAACAAGTAGATCTGCTGGAGTAATAAACAATAGCATTCTCGTAGCAAAAAACAATGATCAGTTAAATAGTAACCCCAAGCAGCCTAATAAGAAAACACAGCACGACTATTTTGGGAAATGTAAACCAGGTACAAATATATGTAATATTTTGATTGCAACATTTATTTACATCTTCTTTCAATTTGAATAAATTTATTTATTAATTTAACCTTTTAAGGAGGATGTTTGGATCCCCCATTTGATGAAGATAAATATTCGTATGAACCTGACAAAGAACAAATATTATTTGATAATTCAAAGAACTATAATATACTCAAAATTAAGAAAAATGATGGACAAAATTCAATTATTGATAGATTGTCCATTGAAAAATCATCGGACAGAGTTCAAAATAAATCTAGTGTCTTGAGCATCTTAAGTTTGTATCAGGCACAGTTTTTGAATAATTCCTTAGATTCAAAATATTCCGATTCTATTATAACTTACCCACCTACCCTATCCTCAAGTGAAATATTAACCGAAAAATACATTAATGAAAAGAATAGAATTAATGGAGATAAATCAAGAAAATCGTTTAATGAATTTTATGAGACCTATTTTATACCATCGAAAACAACAAAAAAGTACATTAATAAGAAAGCATCAATAATAAGCCACACCAACGAGCGATTCAAAGACCCAACGACATTAAATAATAAAGTACAAAAAGAAATTGAGGGAAATTCAATTGAATTTATTAAACCTTATCAAAATGAAAATAAAACACAACAAATAGTCATTTCCACAGTCAGTAAAGTTAATCAAAATTACATCGATCAGCCAGAAAAAGAACATTTATATGAAGATACTACTACTGAACTTATTTCCAAAACTCTATATGAACCATTAGTAGAACCTGAAAATATTATGTTACTGACTTTAGATCTTAAATCCGATAAAATTATTACAGATAATCAAACTGACAATAAAATTACTCAGAATGAAGTAATTGCAAATGATAACAATTCCTATATTTCTATAAATAGAAAAAGTGGAAGTAAAATGATTTCATCTAATTTTACAGACAATGTACAAGACAATTATAATTTTCAAACAAATAGTAAAGATTTAGATAAGGTCTATGAGAATATCACAAATTCTACTAGAGAAATAAACAATAATAACAATAGCAATGAAGCGTTCATAAATGACAAAATACATTTGAAAGATTCAAAATTATCACAAATTGCTACAGAAAAAAGAAATATAACTGCAAGTAAATGTGAAATTTCAAAAATAGATAATACAAATAAAATGAATTCTTTATATACAAATAATATCAAATCGGAATCTGTTATTTTGCTAAAAAATTCTTCTAGCAAGAAATCAATTCTTCCTGATTATACAGTCAACAACAATACAATATTAGAAAATATATTATCAGATATAAACTATTCCGTGTCTGCGATTATTGAAGTCAATCAACATGATACTGATCAGATAAAAACAGAACATTTATATAAATATACTACAACCAAATTTATTTCAAAAACTTTATATGGACTACTAACAGAACTTGATAATAATAAATCTTTTTTAAAATCGGATAAAATTATTACAAATGACCAAACCAATAATTATAACATTACTCAGAATAAATCCATTGTAAATAATAATAATTCTTATGTTTCTACAGATGAGAGTCAAAAGATTTCATCTAAAATTACAGACCAAATACAAGATAAATACAGTATTCAAATAGATAGTAAAAAAGTTGAAAATATTTATAACAAACCTATTGATACAGATATAGCCAAAGAAATAAACAAAAAATATAATGACATCAAAAAATCATTAATAAACAACAAAACACATTCAAAAGATTTACAATCATCAGAATTTGTTACAAAACAACAGAAAACAACTATAAGTAAACGTAAAGTTCAAGAAATTGATGATACAAATAAAAATAGTTCTTTATATATAAATAATATCAAAGCGGAGTCTGATATTACGTTAAAAAAATCTTTCAGTGAAATTTATAGTACGAATTTAATTCCTACTAACCATACAACTACTATCAATGAAAATACTATACCCGATAATACATTATCGAATACCAATCATTTTATTTCCGTACTTAATGAAGTCAATCAAAGTGATATTTATCAGACAAAAACAGAACATTTATATGAAGTTCCTACTACTAAACCACTGGAACAATTTGAAAATATTATATCACCTTTAAAATCCGGTAAAACTACTACAGATGACCAAACTGATAATTATGATATTACTGGGAATAATTTGTTTGTAAATAAAAATAATAATTCCTACATTTCTATGGATATAAAAATTGATAATCCAGAAATTTTATCTAATATTACAGATCAAGTACGAGATAATTATAGTATTCAAATAAATAATAAAGAGGTAGAAAAACAAATTAAAAACATAATAAATATAGATGCGTCCAAAAAAATAAACCTAAATAATAAAATTAGCAATGAGACGTTAACAAATGACAAATTACCTTTAAAGGGTTCAAAATCATTAGAAAGTATTATAGTGCATCGAAATTCAATAGTAACTAAGTATAATAGTCAAGAAATAAATTATATAAATAAAATTACTTCCTTATATACAAGTAATATCAAATCAGAACCTAATATCACATTAGAAATATCTGTTGGTGCAATTTCTAACACACAATCAATCTCTACTAATTATACAACTACTATCAATGAAAATACTATACTAAGTAATACATTATCAAATGTGAAAAATTCTGATCAAAAAAATGCAAGAAAAAGACTAACTGAAGCCAACGAAAATATAACAACGGAAAAAACCACTGCAATAAGAATCTCAAAATTACCTTCGAAAGATTCATTAAATTACGATTTTAAGAAACATGTCGTAGATACCAATAACAAATATATTGTTAAAAACAATGATACAAATGATAATATACTGGCAAAAACTAAAAATACCTCTTTAAATAATATTAATAAAATAACTACTAATTTTAATGAATCAATTAGAAATGAATTACTTGACACTTTGGATACTAATAACAAAGAAAATTGTGAAGAATCAAATTCTGCAATAAATACATATAAAAGAGATATAAACACACAGAAAAATGATAAAAGTAACGTAGAAATCTCTAACAAAGACAGTAAAATTATTAAATATGAAACATCAAAAAAAATATCAGAAGAACCAAAAATTGATGATAAATCTATTTTATCTGATTTTAAACAAGAGTGTGTTAATCCTACAATTTCAACAGCTATAGTAACAGTTAACAGTTATAAAGAATCACAAATAAAAGAACAAACATCTTTTATAGCAGATGATGTAAAATCAGAAAATATCATAAATAAATGTTTTATATCATCTTTGTCGGCATCCCATATAAAGGAAGAAATACAAAACGAATCGCCTGGAATCTGTCTTAACCTTGCTTTTCAATCATATCCAGGTAAAAACGGTAATAAAACAATAAAAACTTTAGATGCATCAAGACCACTAGTAAGAAAATCTGATGATAGTATTACCATAATAAAATCTAAGATAAAACCTGATAGCAAAGAAATAAAAATTCCAATAGATTCCGAAAACTATATGTTCATACAATTAAGGAAAGATCAACCACATTTAACACAAAAAAATAAATCTACGTTTACAAAACAAACACAGGATGTATCGGCTATGGAATTAAATAATAGTAAGTAATAGCATTAAACAAATACATGTTAAAATGTAAGAGTCTACAACTAATTTTTTATGATATTCTATTATAATATTGTGTGTATGTGTGTTTTATAAATAGTATAAAAAGACATAGAATGGGCCACCCCTTTCTTTCCCGTGGGAATTATAAGAGGCAACTAACGAAATATGATGGTTGAAGGATGGACAGCAGTATCCTTTTTAAAACATCATGAAAAGCATAACTGCGATTGCCAACTCGTCTGTCAACTACTGGAAAAACCCTTCCAAGGGGGAGGGCCTATGTTCAACAGTGGACAGACAATGGCTAATATAATGAAGATGTTCTATAAATACGATACAAGTTAGCAACAGTATAACAGTTTTCATAAATAAACCGAAAACATATCAAAACCTATTGGGATTCCATTAGATTCTATAGAACTGTTTTAATTTAAAAGCAAATCCAGAAAACTACTAAGTAACCCAGAGAGCAAACACGACCACACCACGTCAAGGTCACAAAGAACCCAACTCTTTAAATTTAGTGATATATTTCCTAATTTTTCCTTAACAGTTTAGTACCATTACAGTATTGTTAATTTAAACATTTATAATATCATCTCTCTAATAATACTTCAAGCCCAATGTGTTTGCGCAGATATTTTTATATGGGAGGGTTTCTACAATAAAATTACAGGTCGCGGAAACATAATACCTTACTCATTAGGAATAGCAACCCCTGGCACTGCATAAACCTTACAATTAGTATATTATATTAGGTTATATACTAGATACCAATCCGATGTCTACGAGTATATATTGGATTCCTCTGGACATGACGATGACGAAAAAAGGTCATTACCCATTTCGATATTGCCCATATCGGTCGGATATCTATTTTCATATAGGTATGTTAAAAGTCTGTTATCCAATATTATTTTTTGGATAACAGACTTTTAATATATTCATAATTAGACCAGTATATTACAATAAATTCTGTGATGTTTACAATTTTTTTAGTGATTGGTTACCACTTATTATATATACATACAGGCCTGGTTCCTTAACATAGCCGTATATGTACTCTCAGACACGTCTTTATAAAGTTTATATCGAATCCTGGGGATCGATGCCCTTAAATACGCCCATGATGTTAAGTCATACAAAAATAATCATTATAATCCTACTAGATACTAGATAATTTTAACCTTAATAACTGTTTAATAATTTATTATGATGATATATTATTTTATTTTATTGTTACTTAGATTAGATTACTTAACTTACTTATATTGCCTTTTCAGGGTTCTATACCAAAAAGGTACGAAGGAGCCCTTATGGTGCGATTTGTCTGTCCGTTCGTGTATCACAGCGCTGTAAACAACTACTAATGCTATCGATTTCAAATTGGAATACTTTTATATATTGTTGGCTCGCACATATTGCAATAGAAATAATTGAAAAAAAATTTTTTTTTTTTGCGACGGGATCCAAAAGGGATAGTCAAAATTTCATATTGGCTTACTAGTCTAAATGGAATATTATATAAAAGGGCTTCATTTGGACATTTCACAACTGATTTTAATTTATTTTTATGCTGTATAATTTTTTAGTTATAATTTAAAATGTAAGAAAAAAAAATCCCCCTCCCCCTTTTACCTTCTAAAATTGTCAGATAAAAACCTAAAATAATTATAGTTTATAATGATATACGTAGATATTACAGGAAAAATAAATGATACTTCTAATTATCACAATTTAAAAAAAAAAACATAAAGAACCTCAAAATCAAACTTAACTTTGCGGTTTGTTTTCAAGCCGTAGTTACAACTTATATACACAATTTTTAATGGAAATAACTATAATAATAATTATTAGATGTCTATTTCATATAATCATATAAAAATAAAAAAGGAGGTCATTTTATATCATATATATATATATATATATATATATATATATATATATATACATAATTTTTTAGTGTTTATTTAGTTAATAGATGAGGTTTTTAAAAATGTACGTTGCGATATGTTTTTATATCAGAAATATAAATATCCTGACAATATATCTTTAAAAATCTTGTTAGCTTTTTTGGTCTGGTCTAAATAATTGCGAATTTTTAACACATTTTTCTTCTAGTGAATAAGTGGTTTTATTTCTTTTGTTATTTTGGTGTATTTTCGGAGTGTACAACTTATTCAAATATTTTTTTATCTAAAGACTACAAACTTTTTAGAAACATTTTATGTACGGAACCCTCGATTATTGAATTCAACTCATATTTGACCGGTTTTTTATCTTTAAACCGTGTATGTTAAAAATGTTATAAACATTACTATACATTTAAATGAACGCTTACTAAGAAGTTTTTTTTTTTGTTTTTTTTTATGCAACTTTATTCTTATAGAAGTGCTAAGTATAAACACGAGTCACCGATGAAAGTATTTATTACAATTAAAAATAAATTAAACCAATTAAAAACGTAATTTCCAAATAATTTGTGTCAACCTATTACATATACGTTAATTAATGATAGCAGCTCCGGTTCTACGTAAATGTAATTCAGTATCCACCTCTTAATTTATATAGTATTTACTAGCAACTCGTGACTTTACCCGTATTAATTTTTTTAAGCAATTTTAAATGGCAAGCAAGCGTCTGGCCATCTGATGTATGTCCAGTAACAGCACAACATAACGATCTTATATTTTTCATAAGATTCGTGATTTTCATAATTTTTCATGAAATTTATGAAAAAAAAAAGGATTGATGAAAAGCGGTAACTTATATATACTTGAACAAAACAATGAATATCACAGAATAGACTGAGATATCGCTATTATGTCTTCTTACCCTGTAATTACACTACCATATCCCATCCCTTACACCGTAATACAACCATATAAATACACTTACTTAAGTAGTAACAAAAACACGTGTAGAACGCGTAATAAGGTATTGTTTTTATATTTCAAGCTTTAAGTGGCGGAATAAAGGGCCCATTTTTATCGATATAAAAACTATCCTATCTCTTAGAGTAAATAATACACATTTACAAAATTTAATTAAAACCCATTAAGCTTTCAAAGATTATCATGAATGAACATCGTAACGACGGATACAAATAAAATATCCTCTTATTAAATTTTAATGATGTCTTATATTGATTAAAAACATAACTGTTTCTATTCGCAGACATTGAATCCTTGCAAAAGACTTTAGCAATATTATATGAACTACAATTGGTTCCTCTGCAAAATGTAATTAAAAGTTTAAAAGAAGAAATTGACGAATTAGCAAGGCAACAATTCTGGCTGAAAGAGAATTTGCAAATAAAGAAAAATAAACCAATAAAATTAATCAACATTAATAAACGCTGTGGATGTTTTAAGAGATATGGGAACATTTAAAAATCATATATTCTTATTTTATAGCAATTCTAAAATATATTTTACATACTCCGAAGTTGCAATTTATGCATTTAAATAAATTTATGGCAAAACGAAAATAACGCAATGCGATTTAAATAATAATGCGACAAGTTCCTCAATCGAGATCGTGTAGACGACCACAATTGCTACCGTCCTGTACCAACAGAAGAGGTTCTTGTAATTATTGTGCTTTCATAGTGTGTCACTCGAATGAAACGGTTGTGTCTTGCACCAGTTGATAATACATTGCCAAAAATAATAAAAGTCTTTTACATTAAATGGACAGTTATTTCTACGCGTATTCATAAATGAAATAGTTGCAGTGTTTTGCTAGTAATTGCTTATTTTATTCAATTATTGTTGTTTTTAAAATGGAAAAGGTTAATACGTTATCACAAAATGTAGACGTTAATGATAAACATGCAGCTGATCTGGACCAAGCGCTATCAGTCGCTGGTGAGTACCTAATTTAATAAAATTGCTACTTTTCCATTAACTAGCTTTAGCTATATACATAGATTTCACATTATCAGTTCATGACAATGACATTGATATAGCGTTATGTACAGATGAAGTGGCAATAAAGAGAACTAATTAATATATGGCTCCAGATAATTTTGCGTATCTAATAGCTTGTCATCATATTCGGATTTAGACCATTCTATACTAAGAGAGAGCTTACCATAAAACTGGTAGCATCTGGAATCAATAAACCCGTTTTCCTCATGAACTAACTTGCATCTTATATGATTGCACCATCTTTAAAAGTGCAATAATTTTAAGTGTAATAATTTTTAAACCTAAATTACTTATATGTGCATATTAAAAAAAAATACTTTAATTTCAAATCTTCCATATTTATTAAGTATCACTTTTTAATTATTTTTATCAGGGGAAAGGGATTGATAGTATTGTGGTCTAACTGTCCCCTTGCTAGTAATATACCCTATCAGGTCGACACCGACGCGGTTCCCCTGTAAACCATCGTAGTTAGTTAGATGTGCCAACTGACCAGGTGTCATCCGCACCTATCACCACTCTGATGCCCCACCAGCGTACTCGTATACCGATAGCGCAGGCGAAGTTACCATTCTGTTATCACCCATTATAAAAAAAAAAATTATCTCTCAACTCTACTCACAGTCTTTGAAGATACGCATGATCATTATATTTAATTCGTCTACACAGAGCATGTTCCGTACGCAAAATTTCAATTTAGCAATTACGTATTTAAGACGATGCAGAAATTAAAAATAGCTATTTGTCAATTATTCTATCGATCTTCAAGTCAAGCTTTAAATGGGGTAGACAGAGACATAATAATACAATTTTGCCTGTGAAATGTGTGTGTCAATTTTGACTTATCTTGCTTTACGTACCTTTTCACACCATCATACCTATTCCAGTGAATCGTGACTGAACCTTCAAGTATTATACAAAGTTATTATTAGGTCAGTCAGATCAGATCGTCTAAACTTTATTCAGTTGTTTCAAACTTCCACTTCCGTATCAGTTTCTTTTTATCTGTGCCCAAACCAACGTAGCACGTAATGCCCCTTATCTTTATTACACGTTTATTAATATTATGTTTCTTATGCATGCATTAAATCATAATTATCAAGTACCTACTTAAGAACGTTTACGTGTGACAATTGACAATGTGAAATATCTCGTATCGTTTCCTGCTTTGATGTGGGTCGCCTTCTGTTAATCCACATTCTTTGCTCTAAGTTAAGCCACAGAACTACTCTCAAAACCACACCTATCGTCATCAATGGACATATCATTATTTCAATATTTTTCGCAGTGTACATCAATAGTACACTTGACTGTAAAGTTCATGAGTTCGAATCAAACTGTCACCAAAAACTTTGTGTATTGTAGATTCTAATATGCATCGCGAAATGTGCGCTTGTCAAGTGTTATATTTGCTACAACAGCAACTACAAATGTCTACCTTTAACTACCTCATTAAAGATTATAATCGTGACCATTTTTATTTATTTATAAATATTAAGTGAAGCCTACAAGAGAGGTTTTCGCTGTCGAATTAATAACGTCACTAAAATACACCACACTAATTATGACATGTAAAATTACGGTGAATAACAGTATAATCAGGTTGTTAAGAATATGTATTTTTAGCAACCTGGCTTTACTGTATTTATTTTAAAAGGCTCCTGACAATTACTATATATTGTATAGTAAGAAAACCAGATCCAAGCCAATTAATAAAAGTTTATTTTATAAATTGGTCTAACTAATAAATAGCGAAAATGGCCCCATATTCGTATATTTCATCGAGCTAATTTTAGCATAACTCCACGCCAGCGAAAATGTCCCACGATATTGTCGTCTTTGAAAACTTTGTATAATGCTTCTTTTATAAATGTTTTGCAATGATCATGGTACTGTTCACCCTGCAGATGATGATTACGTATTACCATTAAAATACAAGTACATCCTTATCTTATTTGCTCCTCTATAATAAAAAGAAACTACAAAATACAGTGCACTGTAAACTACACACTTTTCCAAATTTTAATAAAGTAGAATATGAAACAAGAACCCATGGGAAAGGAAGGGATGGTCCACTCTATGCCGAGGCCACACGATACACGCGGCACGGCAATATGTGTACATACGAGTAATCATTACTGATGAAAGTTGCTTAAAATTCCAGATTTTTTTATAGAAAGTAAGTTCACAAATAACAAAATCCTGCAATTTTTCTCGTACGCTTCATACGCTTTAATAGTTAGAAATTATGAAAGTAACAGAGTTCAAAATAAGTTTAATCGAATTAAATCTATAGACAACTAATCTAATATAATAAATTTAATTATCATCTTTATAACACATAATATTAATTTATCTTATCAGAGACCCACCCACATAAAGCCTATCTACATAACTTTTTATCACTTCACATTACTTGTATAATTTAAGATTTTGTACCACAAAAAATCTTAATTGATGAATGAAATATCAAACTGTAAATTGCAGTCTTTTATTTATATTAGGAGGTGCATTTGTTCAGGATTCTTATCCTTACTATTTAATACGGATGGCAGAATGCCTGCTCTAATAGCCTCAAATATATATACACATTAAGTATTAACATGGAGTGAGTAAAATAAACGGCCTAACAGAATTAATAGAGTGGTCAACTAGATGAAAGCTATGATGTGAAAATAAAACATAAACAAATGATACATATGTATAGTATCGAAAAAGCATGTTTTATTTTCATATCATAGCTTTCATCTAGTTGACCACTCTATTAATTCCGTATATACCATATATATATTCATTCATTTATTCATTTATTTATTTAATATATTTAAAGGTAGTATTATGGATGTTAACCCATCCATAATACTACCGATTACACAGCCACCTGTTTATTTTAGATCGGATAATGTATAAAATTCATTTTTGTCTCATTATTTCCAGGTTTTGGTTGGTACAATGTAAAATACTGTTTGACGTTGGCGTTGTTTCTAATCTCCGCCATCATAGAGCCAGTTGGATACTCGTACCTGCTACCTGCTGCTAAATGTGACTTAAATATGTCAGATTCTCAGCGAGGAATAATTTCTTCAATCCCATATTTAGGTGAGCGAAATATATGATAAACTTCTTCATTTGAAAGATATAGCCAGATTTTATTTTTACCATATGGTGTAATCCTGTAATCATTTCGCCATAAGAAATCACTATAATTAATATAAAAATATGTTCCTTTTATGTACATTAACGCTAACTTCATTGAAAAAATATTTGTTACTTATTCCCTTCCCTCTTTATAAACTCAATAACGCACCAAATTCTTCTCATAAATAGATATGACCTACTAGCAGTTATCACTTTGATCAGAAGCTTTTTGCCAGAGAAAGTCTTGAAATGCCATTATTAATATTTAACAAATACATCCAGCTACACAAAAGTGATAACTGCTACACATCCTAGGGTTCTGTTGATGGTCAAGGAACCATCTATTGCAGGACAATGACGGAATAGCTGCGTTTTGTTTGTCCTAAAACCTGTAACAGATGCATGCTTGACTGTCTATGGAACTCATAACTATAAGTAGCATGTTCCAGTTCCCATGATATAGTATCAATGGAATACATAATTCGCCCTACTATTTATCTATTTACTCATCCATATTCCATATTGCATTGCCCTGTCTAGGGTTGTACAAACACGCAATAAAATTATTTACTCAGTATCAATTGTATTCTATTGACGTATTTGCAAATGCAATTGATGTTCTTAGAACTGGCGTGACCAAGGAATATAATACCGATCTCGGAACAATGGTATCGATACTGTTAATAAATACCAATATATTAATGAGCTTCAGACTATATGACCCTGATCACTATCTATCAGGCAATCGAGTTACATCAGTCATTCATAACCTCATGGTTTCATATCTTGGTAGCATTGTTGAAGTGTCATTTTTGAAAATTATAGTCTATGTACCAATTAGATAGCAGCAAGTGCTTATAAAATATATTACAAATATTTTTTTAAGTACATAATTCCTTAGAAAAATAATACCGTTATAGACGGGTATTATTTGTGTTCTACATCTTTATCTTGAGGAGTATTTAATTTATAAAAAAAAAAGACGTCACACTAACTCAGCATCTAATTATTGTAGGCGACTTTGTGGTCTATTTTTATTATGTATTTAGTTACTGTGTCTGAATCGTCATCCACTTGTAACCGAATTTATTTTTTGTATAAAAAAAAACAATGTAATTAGGTTAATACCAAAATGAAAGATATTTTGTAAAAAAAACCGTACCCAATATAAATAATCTTAAATAGAATATTTTTTTTATTGGCGTACTGTGGTAATTACTACTATGTGTATGAATATAATTATATTACGATATACAATTTAATTTAATTTCCTTTTTCTATGATTCATAAAATACTCGTTCATATTAGAAAAACATTTCTCAATAAACTACTAGGTATTTTAACGTTTTGCCATTTTCTTTAATTTTCTAAGCTATTAATTATTTAAGTATGTATTTATATACACGTATGGTACATAATACGCACTTCCACTACATATACATATAACTGGATTAAAAGTAAAAACAAACCGTGTCGCAACAACAATTTAAGACTAAACCAGTGCCTTCGGAGTGAAGTACTGTATGTTCTTGTGTACAAATATGCACAAGTTTAAAATGTATATACTACTCGTACATAGAATAATAAGTTTGTACTTTCGAAAGATAGGCATTGTATCTTTTTTTATTAAAGATAATGCGAACGCATCTATTCTGCAAGATAAATACGGAGTGTCAACTGAATTCCCCCAAATGATTATACCATAATTTAAGAGAGGATATACCATACTAAAATAAACAATCAGCAGAATTTCTTGAGAAGCTGATCGACTTAATATTAAAAGAGCTTAAGATATATTAGATAATTTGGAATTTATATCATTAATGCGAATTTTCTAATCTAATTGCCTCTTCGTTCAACGCGACATCATACAATAAAGCTGAAAGGTCAAACTGTTTCATATTCTGATAAAATATACAAGCAAAATTACTTTTAACACAATTTGTTATTAATTTCCTATCAGCATCTGCAGCATATCTTCGCAAATAAAAAATCAGTATATAAATTTTTCGACCCTTATGATGGATGATAAACATCCTTAGTATAAAAAATATAGCTATTATAAAAGGTAAAATTAAAAAATATTCTCCCATGCCTAAGAAATTAAAACTAACATTCAATAATATACATTTAAGTAGACCTTTACAACATCTTTAAGCCCGAGGAAAACTTCACGCAAATAATATTCAACATAGGTAATTCGGACATTTATCGAAAATTATAATGTTTCCTTTTATTTAACTATGGAACCCAAAAAACACTACTTTGCAATCATGTTTTTCTTTACAGGCGTTGTTTTGACTTCATTTCCGTGGGGTTACTTAGTAGACACACGAGGCCGAAAGAAAATGATCATATATAGTTCACTAGGCGTCGGCGGCTTCAGCGTACTTTCCGCGTTTATGCCTGAAATGATCAGTTTTACTATATGCAAAACTCTCAGTGCAATCTGGTAAGATTTTCTTCATGGTTACAGTCCTAGTTTTAGAGATCATTTAACACAGTTATCGACTGCATTTCTATTGTCGATCCCAAAATCCAATCTGAGAGTTTCTCTGAACTTTTCTAATTTATTTCTGGGCCATTTAAAAACTATTGTGACTCAATACTGTTTGATGTCCTTGGTATCGTTCATGTGTATATACGACGGTAACTTACACCTCAAATGGGCCGTCACCTTTTTTGCGTATAACGAGATATTAAAATCTTTATTTAGCTTCTAATTAAATATTTTTTATTTGATAATGTAAACCAATGTTGTTATTTGCTAGCTTAGCATGCCCAGCAGCAGTCCCTTACACTTTTATCGGAGAAATAATACCACTGAAATATAGAGATGTCACGCTATCAGTCACAAACGCGTTACAGATCATGGGATCTGGTTTAGTACCACGTAAGTACAGTAATAACAGAAATAAACAATAAATAAAATTTATATAGGGTTATGATAATATTTATAAGTGATATTTCAAATATTACAAAACATACAAACGGAGTAGTCAGAGGAATTTAGCTATCGCATTTTGTTGTTGTGCCCAGCGTGGCACCCGACATACCTACATTGTTTATCGTCATTCTTTACCTAAATAAAAACAATACATAAGAAATAATGCTTGACTTATAACACTTGACTTGGCTAAATGTCTAGCAAATTACGCCTGTGTGATCAGGCGCGTAACTCTCTCAGATGATATAATGATCGACGCATATACGAGTTCTAACCCAGAAACAATACCTATTCGAGTAACATTAATTTGTGAACAATTCTATTTTCAGTCTTGGCTTGGGGTATTTTGCCTCTTGATTTCAGAGTGGACTTTGGAGCATACGAATTCAGATCCTGGAGACTTTTGTGTATAGCTTACGCGTGCTTTTTCTTCTTAAGCACGTTCTTGTTGAGTTTCGGGCCGGAGAGTCCCAAGTATCTTGTGTCCCAAGGAAAACATGACGAGGCCTTGAAAGTATTGCAAATTATGTATGCGGAAAATAAAGGAAAATCGCCTGATACATATCCAGTAAGTATGTATCTATATATTTCACAATTTTACACGAAAACATTTGAATTGGAAAAGACCATTAAAAGAACAATACTTAAAGATTACCATAACAAAGGGTATCCTAGTACAGATACTTCCAATGGCAATCTATATAATATTATATTTTCTAAAATGTATAAAAGAAATGCCATTGTGATATAATTTATTATTATTATTGCGAAATCAAATTCTAATTCGTTTGTTAATCTAAGCCTTGTTTGGTTGCGAGTTTAAATAGATGCTTATAGTTTCCACGGCAGTCGAAGGCAAAAAATATAAAAATCCTAATACATAAAAATATATGAACAGAAAAAAGTAAAAGTAAAAAACGTGAACTGAGAATTATAAAGCCATCTTAATTATGAGTTATTTTTTAAAGAACTTTAATAGGGAAAACATACATCTTTTAAAGTAGATAATGTTTTACACGAATAAGTTTTGTAAAACTGAAGCGTACAAAAATAATTACCAATAGATATACACACTACACATTTAGTTTCAGGAAATATTAATTCGATGAAAAATATAAAATACAAAAAAATGATAAGTCTCCCAGTGCAGCTCATTCACTACTAACACTTGAAATATCTCATATAAAACTAACAAATCAATTATTTTAGTTAGTGTCTATGGAAACACCTATTCAACAACTATCACAAACTATTATCTAATCACCTATCAACATTTATAATGACCGTATCAATTATAAACATCTTTATTTCTGTAATAATTATAATGACTTGGCAATATTTTCTACTGACAATTTATTCTTAAGTGCATTGTTTAAGTTCACTTAGTAATCGAAATAGTAGATTTTGTGTTACTTTTTTTATAAATAGCATAAAAGATACCTTATATATTTATAATAGCATATGTTCATTAACCTTTTTTAACAAAAAAATCTATCTCTCTAGAAGAGACTGCAGTATAACGCTGCCATTTCTAAACACGAATATTATGCATGTACAGTCTCAAAAAACTATTTTTAAGTAACTAGTTTTGCAAATAGAAATGTGTCAGGTCTTTGAAGGTATAAATATAAGGAACAAATTATTTATTTTTATGGTAAAGAATATCAATCTTTTCTCTTAATTTCATAGTGTAGGACATTATATAGCCTACTGCTACCATGCTGGTTAGCTGGTTTGGTATAGGGTTTTATTTCGAGTTTTTCTTCTCTTGTACTCGTGTAATGCACCTGATTTCCGTAATCACATTTTATATAGCGATTATGAAAAGGAGTATTTTCGTAAGTATTCCATCATTGCAGTTACAAATTTTTTTAAGTTGCCTAGCTATTTATAACTTTTTCACTGTTCTATACCTATCTATTTAGAAGACCTTAAGGTATAGTCGAGTAGTTAATACGTGCATGTTAATACTTTAGACATCACAGAATATTTGTACTACCTTTAGTATTCTGAGTAATAAACATATTAGTAGTCAACTGTTCGCTGCTGAATATAGACCTCCCCCTTGAGGGGTTTTGCCAATAGTTAGCACGCTTGATAGGGGTTTGTGCAACCGCAATTAGGTTTTGGTGATGTTTTAAGAGGGACACTGCTACCTACTTCTCAACAATTAAAGCCCCTTAGTCGCCTTTTACGATACCCACGGGAAAGGAAGGGGTGGCCATTCTATGCCGGGATCACATGGTAATTTTCACGGTCAAATTAATCTTATTTTATTTTTTCGAATTTCAGGTGAAAAGACTAAATATGCCCACCGTTAATAAGGAAAAAACCAGTTTTTTAAACTCACTCAAGGTGCAAACATTGCCATTATTAAAACCCCCATATTTTAAGTGGTTGGTACTTAATGGATTCCTGCTCTTCGGTATAATGGCATCGTAAGTAAATTACCAGTTACCATTTTCAATCAGGTAGAGTTGGTCCGTCAGCTTATTTGTCGTTTTAAATATCAATAAATAATAATAATACCAAACACCACAAGGCGCGTACAGTTTTATCCAGAAAGATCAAAATTCGAATATGATTTACATTTTTCAAACTATATTCCTTATTTAAATAAAATATTATTTTCGCTAGTAGAATACTCATTTTAAAGGGTGCTAATAGTTTTAACCTGTATAATAGGTAACATTAATTGTATATCATTTGAAGTATTAAGGAGCACATACGCGCAATCCTGATTGTTTTGTTCATAATCTATTATATTGACAGTGTAGTGGCCGTATACTACTACAGACTCCAAATTCATGATTTCGAATCTACTTCACCTCACTTACATGGTACATATAATCTACAAAGTTTTTACTAAAAGCTGTGTCAATTTAAATTTACAATCATCTACTCTCCAGTAACACAAAATACCGTTAACCAAATTAAACCAAGTGACGTCGTCAATTAGTATCAGTTGTCTTCCCAAAATATCAGCTTGGTTTAAAACTAGACTGTATTATTATTTTATTACGTCCAGACAATTTAATAATAGTAATATTTGTTACAGTCTAAACGGTCTATACATGTGGGTACCAGATGTATTAAACCGAGTATTCAGCGGCAGCGGTGGTAATCAGCTGACCGCGTGCGGTGTTATCGCTCAGCGGGTCGAGGCAGTTAGTATTGAACTGAGTATCTACTACATGATAAATTTGTTAATATTGAGAGCGTAATAAAGTAATTGGCAAAAGCCAAACTGCGGCTGCCAACCCGTGAAAACTAATGGCAAATGAGAAACGAGATCGTTCCATATGTCAGTCTATAATTTGGGGAGCCAATTGTAGACTGACATAAAAAACTACCTCTTTTTTATGGCAGTTTATGGGGGAAAACTATGTTCAGCAGCGGACAAATAACAGTTGATATGATGATGATGAATAAAGTGATTGAAACAAGACTTACTCCTAAGTTAAGTTTAAATACGAGTATGCTCGATGAAATATAGATATTACTGATACTAACGGTCGACAATTGCCTCTCACTACTCCATCTAGGATTACATTACAGTAGGAAACGTACTTCTAATAACGTACGTATATATAATGAACTACTAATTGGCATATCAGTATAGCACTACTAAAGCTATTAGAGTTTGAAACAGTACACAAGTGTTCCTGATAAAGTAAATTTCCGCTAAAAATTTTTATGATATAAGAGATTGGTTCTTTTTGCGTGAATTTTACTTGTGTATGAATATACGCGAGTATGTACAGGGTGGGAGTAATGAATACATAGGTACATTAATATATCATTATAAATTCAAATACAGTTGTTACTTTTAAATGGGGAAACCATTTATCAATGTTCAAATCTTGAAGGACTAATATTATATAATATAAGGTTGTCCGGAAGAAATAAGCAATACTTCCAAATTAGCGACAAGGCCGCCTTTTGTATCACTTCTCAATAAAATTCAGTATATAAAGTTTAAACTAATAAATATTTTTTTTTTATATTTCAGGCCACCGACGACACTGTCTGCGACGATACGATTGAACCTATAACTTTTATAATTAACTCTATATCTAGTACAAGTTGTGCTTTGATTGCGGTTTTTGTTAGTGTCCTAGTGAAATTCATAGGCAAGAAAACGTTATTAATTGCCGTGTACTTTATAATCGGGACGTTCTGTATACTGATTAACTTCGTCACAGAGCAATTTGTGTTTGCTACTCTTCTGTCGTCGCTCACTTTGACCGGTCTAGGGTTGGGACCCGTAAATGCTTTTACGGTACAAATATTCCCTACCCATTTAAGGTAAACACTTTTCTTACATTCTAAACTTTTGCCAACCCTTAATGCTATAATCTGAGAAATCATCTGAATAACTTAGAATAAAAAGTATCCCATCTAGTATTTGAATAACAAATTTCATTAAAAATCTTTCAGCCGTTCACAATGGCGTAACTATACCATTTGGGGCCTGTGACAAATTCTTTTGACAGGGCCCTATCATTTATTATCAAGTAAAATAAAATACTCAGGTACAAGTTAAAAAAAAATTCTGAGCCGGGGCCCTTTTAGGTCGGGGGCCCGTGGCATTTTGCAAGTCCTGCCACACAATTGTTACGCCACTGGCTGTTCAAGCATGGTCAAGTAACAAACTTTTTTTTACATTTATAATGTTAGTTGTATGCAAATATTTATAAATATGTTTAGATGTATGAGTTTAGACGGAAGTGAAGTTTTCTTTACCTACATTTTATTCTAATTCACGTAAGTAAGGCCGCAAATTACCTATAAAGTGTTTTATTACCTCCACGTGTATATTAATGAAATTGCAATAAAACATAAAGATTACACACACACACACACTAATGTAATATTTATCTAAATAAAACATAATATTTTTTTATAACAGTTAAGTAAAATAGGAGTAATAATCTTCAATTCAAAGATTAAATAATTTCGTTCAATGGTAGACTAACGGGGAGTGGGGGTAGGGGGCCCGCCCCAGGCCTTTAGTGGATTTCCAAATGCCTCTAGTTTCCTCATCCATATCCAATATGGATATGTATGTTTTTTTTAAGTCTAATATAAATTGACTGACTTGCAAGATTTTAATTAAATAAACTTATACATAGAATTGTGAGCAAAATAAAAGACTTGTAAAATTAAATTAACTTCTTAAATTGTGGGCCTCGTTTAAATTCGCCGCTCCGGGTCTCTGACAGGCTTAGTCCGTCACTAGTTTTATTTACGCGAAACCTAGCGCTCGAACTAAGACTATTTTCTCAAGTAGTTTAGTAGTAAACTATTAAGTTAGATAACCTTTACATTTAAGGGTAGAACACATTTTTACATATTTTTTCCATTGCAGAGGAATGGCTGTAAGTTTAACAATGATGTTAGGGCGATCGGGCTCAGTGATTGGAACAAACGTTGCGGGACTCATGATTAATGCAGCTTGTGAAGCAACTTTCTATTCGTTTGGTGGATTACTGATATGTAAGTAATTATAATAATAATACGGTAATAAGAGAGCGAATTAATTTAAAAGAATCTGTTTAAAAAACTGTGTTGTTCGGACATACAAAAAACATGTCAGACGAAAATGAAAAAATGCACTTACCAAGGGAAACTTTTAACACTAAGTCCTCCCTGCCTATACCTTAAGAAACTTGAATGAAGATAGATAAAACTCGTCTTCTAATGATTGTCAATTCGATACCAGCACAAAATATTTTTTTTTTGTTTTTTTTTTCGTGTCTTTTGTTAACAGGTATTAACAAAAACATTTTTTTAAGTGTTTTTTTTTTGTAAATACCTACGTATTTACAAGTGTCACACTACTAATATTATTATATATTATTATTTATTTTATCTCCGCAAAGGTAATTACCCGCCAGCCTTAAGCTGTTCCTAGTCTAGGTAAACAAAGTATCACAAACTATTACACTGATAACACCAAAAGTGCGTTAATAGCATCATAAAATTATGATTAAAATTCTATATAGTTGATAAATAATATGCTCTAAGCAGTAAAATAATATATTTTCATAAATATTTGATTATATTCCAACATTATTTGATTAATACGATGTGTTTCGGTTTGAAGCATTGGATATGACAGTGAGTTTACAGGGTGCAGAAGAATAACACCTGAGTCCTCATGAATGACAATACACGAGGAGTATCATGGGCGAAACAGTATACTCTGTTATGTCCATGGTACTGTTCATGTTTATAGGCGACGGTTACATCTTTCCATCAGCATGTTTGCCATTCTAAGTTGCATAAAAAAATACGATTTATTGTTTCAGTGTGTGGACTGCTAGCATTTATATTGCCAAGGGCACAACCACCAGCGATATCTAAGAAGACCTATTCAGTTCGTCTATGAACATTCATTTTGAATCAAGTTTCGTCACTTGGTTCATTCAACTTGGTTCCGTTTCATATTATCTTTTCTGAGAAAATCCGAGTACGTTAAAAAACGACAAAGCTCTTTAAAAAATATATATATAGTACGTATTTAAAAGGTGTAAAAGTTTAACAAATCTAACCTAAACCCACTGATATACTTATGAAATTGGAATACTCTCTAAAAAGTACAGGGCACATAAAAATATTTTCAAATAGCATGTTCTTTAATTGGATGCAATAGACGTGTATCAAACATTAGATAAATATTTGCACCATGTACCTGAGAATCAGTACTCTCATATACCTGTAGGCAGATTGCAATCTTGACGCGCTGAAGATATGTCACTCCTTTAAGAGTGCGGCAACGTCTTAATTATTTATCAGTTAATTTCTAAAATTTAAAATTTCAGTAAGCAATAATTATGCTCTTATTAAATGCTAAAGAAATCTATTCAGCCACTAATCAAAGCTATTTTGTAGAGTTGTATAAATTGATATTAAATGTCAATTTAATCGTTTGTTCAAATTAACGTGATTTTTTAAAAAAGGGCACATTATCCCTTTGTAAATATTAAACGTTGGACTTTAGAAAGAGATCATTGGATAGGATTCACTTTCTAAAGCGTTACCTCTGCCATTCAGATCGTACATGCGTGTGAATGACATGTACGTAATGTTATATGTATGTAAGCTTTTCTTCATGGACAGGTTTTAGCTTGCTAACTACCTCCTGTGTCTAAAAACTTTCTCTCCGCTCTTTACCCTGAAGTTGCTTTTAAGTAAATAAAGACGGAATGGTGAACACGCTTATGCTAAAGGTATACAAAGGCGGAGCACTAGTTGAGGATGAAGCCAGGTCAGTTGGCCCATTATGGCGAATTCAGCAATAATTAACCACGATGGTTGGGGGGAAAGGGATTATTAGTAATGGAGACTGAGAATCCTATTGCTAGCATTATACCCAACCAGGTCGACCTCCTCGCGGTTCCCCCTAGAAACTATCATGGTTAATTCCTGATGAATTCATCATGCTGGGCTAACTGGCCTATTTTCATTCTCATCTATCACCCCTCACTGGTGCTCCGTCAGTGTATCCCGTTAGCGCAAGCAGGGTTACCATACCATTTTCACCCATAAAAAAACCACGATGGTTTCTAGGAGAAATCGTAGAGATGAACCTGTCGGGGAATGTTACTAGCGATGAAGACTAATGTTCCCATTACTAACAATCCTCCCCCCCCCCCCCCGGTCCTCATGTGAGCGCCAGACAATTGTAAGATGCACCTATAAGCTTTAAATATGCTATTTAATTATTATTATATAGATTATCTTTCTAAAGTTTGACGTGTAATATGTTTTGTGAGGTACAATATAATGTTTAGTATGTACCTATACTTACACACTGTGATTATAGTTAGGTAGTCCTTTAATTATAGATAATCCACATTAAAATATTTTTCAAATATTCTATTTTTTTTAATAATTTTTAGATTTCCTTTACCGTGCTGCAGTATTTTGCATATCATTATCCCAGCCAAATTATCCAAAATATTGTGTTTAAAGAATATCACTATAATATTTATTAGGAAAAAGAAAATTTTTACATTAAACCAATAAAGTATATATATATATATATATATATATATATATATATATATATATATATATATATATATATATATATATATATATATATATATATATATATATATATATATATATATATATATACATATATGATATATATATATATATATATACATATATATATATATATATGAAAGGCTCCCATCATTTTAATAAATTTGTATAAATATGGTAGTCTATAAATTTTGTCAAGATCGACTTTAATAATATACGACATATATATTATATTATTCTATTATATATCACTAGACACATGTTATAATAATATCATTATCAGAAATTAAAATAATAAGCTGTAAATACAAGACATGTATTTATTGTATATATCTTTTTTATAATTTAACAAATTAATATTATGTTTTATTTGTAATATGGCAATAATTTCATATTCCGTTGCCTTTACACTCTTGAAGATTGATATAAAATGATACATGGAATATGATATAAATATTCCGGTCTTTCGTTAAAATGAGAATATAAAATAATAATAATCATATCATTGATTTCTCACAAATTTCAATATAAATATCTAATCTATGCAAATAACTAAAATACTATCTAATAATTATATCTTTTTCTTATGTGGATAAAAGCATACCCAGCAGTGCGACGTTACTACAGTTCATTGTTGACCACAGATTAACAACCCATTACAATTAGAAAAACCTCACCTCTCAGACTGAATATTTGCGACGCAATATCTATCTATGTACTTCTCAATACCTTCCGAACCCATTCGGTCGTCGATCATCTTGAGCGACATAGCGAACACTTCGTTGGCTATGTCCTTATCCCGAGCTAGGGTCGACTCCTCGCAATAGAAGCAGTTGTTGAAGTATAGTCCTGTGACGCCGTCGAGATCGGCCGATGTTGCTACGTACACCGACGTGGCGGCCGCCTGTTGCTGTAATTAAGAAATAAAAGATTGTGTATCCCAAAAAATCAGCCTTCAATTGTGGCAAAACCAGTTATTTTGATTTAAAACTAAGCTAAGGTTTCTTAAGGATCGGTAACGCGCGCGTGATATCCCCGATGTTACAGACATCTATAGCCTACGGTAACTTCGTATACCATCAGACGGGCCGTATGCTTGTTTTCCATCATAGTAATATAAAAATAAAATTACTAAATCAATCGCTCTAGATAAACTTTCTATGGAACCGATCTGTAAGTATATCCTTTCAGATAATAAAAAATATTTTTTTAAATGGGTTTACTACTGATGGAATTATGAGGTAACAAGAATAAAAAAACGGCCAAATTGAAAACCTCCTTTTTGAAGTCGGTTAAAGCATCGTTATTTCGATCATTCTTATCCACTACTAAATACAGGTTACGCCTACTGACAGTGAAACGCCGTAAAAAGGTTTTATCAAAATTACATTTACTACGGAATTATGACTATTAACAAGTTACAAATTAATGTAATTGGAAATAGAGTCCCTACGGATTGTTAGTAATGGAAATTAACGACATATTGCTAGCAATATACAGCATCATGTCGATTCATTCTTACTGAATTTGTCACAATGGACCAATTTCATTCTCACCTTCGCTGGTCTGTAAATCAATAGCACAGACGGGAATACCTTTCTATTTTTTACCATTTAGAAAAATATAATCAATTTTTTTTTTCTAATACAATAAAGTGGAAGAATTTACTTGTTTAAATGCGCAAATCTCTGGAACTAGCAGTCAGATTTGAAACATTCTTTTTTACATCTAATAATTCATATTTTTTAGAAATGCCTATAGACTATTCTGTATTAACAATACAACCATGGGCGAAGCCACAGAGTAAAACTAGTACAGTATATGTCTTCTATACACTATGGTTTAGTGTATAGAAGACATATACTGCACCGCGAGGAGACCGCGAGGAGGTCGACCTGGTTGGGTATATTGCTAGCAATGGGATTCTCAGTCTCCATTACTATCAATCCCTTTCCTCCCTATACATATGTATCGTGCGCCAGCTTCAAAGACGAAATCACAGAAATAAATAATATATAAAAACTCACTAAAGATTTAGTAAAGGGGCGAATAAGAAAGAAGACTAATCTGTACAACCACCAAGACTTGCTGAGGTTCGTAAACACCATATTGCCTGGATGAAGGGAGTTTACACGTATATTTTTACTGCGCCATTCTTCACTGAGGACCTGAAATTTAAATGTAAAGACCATTAATATTTTTTTTTATACAACTTAGAATGGCAATCAAGCTGACGGCCCACCTGATGGAAAGTGGTAACCGTCGCCTATAGACATGAGCAGTACCATGGACATAACAGAGTATACTGTTTCGCCCATGATACCCCCCATGCGTTGCCATTCCTGAGGACTCAGGTGTTATTCCTCTGTACCCAGTAAATTCACGCCATATCCCACCCTTCAAACCGAAACACAGTCATGCAAACACAACTGCTTCACGGTTGAAACATTAATAAATAACAATTGTAAATTTTATATAATAGTATTTTCTCTTAATAGCTAAAATTCATAACATATGAGTAACTATGTAGTGAGTATAGTTAACCGTCCACTGCTAAACATAGGCCATATAGGGGTTTTTGCTAATAGTTGTCACACTTGGCAAGCTGGTTGGCAACAACGTTAGGCTTTAGTAATATTTAAAGAGGAATACTGCCGCCCATCCCTCGACCATTAAGTTCTCTTAGTCGCCTCTTACGACACCCACGGGAAAGGAAAGGGTGGCCTATTCTATGTCGAGACCATACAGCGCATATTTTATAAGCCATATCATTTTCTAGGTGCATTAGCATTCAAGCTTTAGTAATGTGGATTACCAGTCCCATTTGCTAACAATATACCTTATCAGGTCGACCTCCGTGTAGTCCCCCAGGAAACCACCATGCTGAATTCCAAGTGTATTCATCACGATGTGCTAACCAACCTGCCCTTTCATTCTCACTTATCATCCCTCACTGGTACCCCGCCAGAGTAAACCGTCAGTGCAAGCGGGGTTACCATTCCATTATCATCCATTAAAAAAAATCTATTGACTTACTTCATAACTCTTCATTTCCAGGATCCAGAGACACCCTCTAGATCAATCATTTCTAATATTATACTAATATATAAGATAATTGTTACTTACCTTTGCTGTTAAAATATTAAATAATTTGGAATTATTATATGCCATCATAGAACTATACTGGTCTCTGGTCATTGAAATGTTTTGTTGTGTGAATACATTTTTTAAACTTGCAAATCTGAAAAAGTTCTGAATTGTTTACTAATATCCATTTTTTATTTTAGAATGGCTAATAACTTAATGGCTCAAATATTGACAACCATTCTCTGTAGACATAAATTGAATCATGGATACCATAAAATATGTACCTTGGTACCATTTTAAACCATTTTAAACAGAACAAAAATCAGTTCTATGGGAATAAGATATATAACGTGAAACTAGAAGGATGCAAGTACTACGTCTTTGATACAGTTAATCTAGACTTATATAAATTTTTCTTTATCACCCTATTCAGACTTTTGTAAAAATCTCCTAATAGTAAAACTAGTTAAAAATTATAAACTTGAATATAAAACTAAACTTTACCAACCTGTGTGATTCAGAAGATACAAAAACTACTCTACTGTCATGTTTCAAAACCGGTTCAAGCAACAGAGTCAAATACAAGTGACCCAGATGGTTTACTTGGAATGTTGTTTCCAATTCATTCTCGGTCTCTATATATGGAAGTCCAAACACTCCAGCATTCAGTATCAAAATATCAAGACAACTGAAACAAATTATAAATTATTTCATCATATCAGCTTTTAACTGTCTACTGCCTCTCCCTATTTTTGTTTTGGGGGTGGATCTTGCCAGTACTTGCCATGCTTTAAGAGGGGCACTGTTGCTCATCCCTCTCCCTCAGTCATCTCGTACGACACCCATGGAAAAGGAAGAGGTGGCCTATTCTATGCTGGACCACACAGCCATAAGATTTACAATAACAGACATCTCTGGGTGTTATCATATAAGACTAAGTAAAGCATATTATGTGGATATCATACCATTATATATGTACTTATTTATTTAAACTTTAATGCACAGTATAAATATATGTTACATTTGATGGACCTAACACCAGATGATGTTCTGTTTAGTTATATATTAGTACATTTTAGTAATAAATCTCCTACCTGGTAATAGTTTTGACAGCAAGAGCACACTTCTTCACACTGTGCAATGATGCTAAATCTAAATGAACAGTTTTTAAATTATCCTCTGATGCCTTAGTTTCTTTTACTATTTCCTCTATAGCAGTTTGTGTAGATTCCATATTTCGGTTTGCAAATATAACAGTGCAACCATGTCTTACTAAAGATTTTGCAGTTTCAAAACCAATACCAGAATTTGAACCTGTTATTAATGCACATTTCCCTGATAAATCCACTCCATGTAATATCTGAAAATACAAAATATTAAGTAATGTGTAATTAAACAAACATGACAATATAGAAATATATATATATATATATATATATATATATATATATATATATATATATATATATGTATATATAGAAATATATATAAAGATAAGTTAATAATAATAAGGGAACCAGAAAGTTAAAAACCTACATTATACCCATCAAATATTTCAAATTGAAAGCATAACATAAAAGGACTAGTTAGTAGAGTTTCACTAATAAATAAAAAAAATATATATATTATAATCCAAACAGAGCTGGTAGGTACTTTTTTATAATAGCTATGAGTAACTTGGACCAAAGTCAGTGCTTTACCTCGCTATATTAACTTATAAGATGCTTTTTCCCATATCTTTTTAAGTCGTCAAGATTATATTTTAGAGAAAAACACATATTGAAGGTTGTCATCATCATTTTAATTGTTTTAGAATAAAATTTGACATTATTAAAAGTATTTAGCTGTGATCCATAATAATATTAAAAAGAGAAAAGATTTTATTGTTTGTTTGTAACGGTTAAACTCAAGTCAACCAACTTAAAAATTCTTTCACCTATAGAAAGCTCATCATCAGTGAATAACATAGGTATTATTTTTAAAAAATGTCTTAAAACCAGGTACAATTAATGCTAATGTAACATAATTTCTGTAACTCTGTATTTTTGTGATAATAATTTAAAAAAATTGCTAGTCTAAAACTATAATTAGAGTAAAATCAAATAAGCAAAATATATCAAATTAGAAAACACACTACACCAATGCAAAGAAAAATTTGGAATTAAAACTTAAAAGTTACCATGATGCTCTGATGGAAATATTTATACCCAGCAGTAGCAAATTCTCCTTACTAATAATATAAATGTGAAAATAAATTTGTTTGTTTATTACCTCTTAAAACATTAACAAATTACTATGAGATTATGACATGGAAAAAAACAAAGGCTACTTTTATATCATCAGTAAACATATTCCAGTATATATGGATAAAGTGACAGGTAAAAGCTAGTGCAACAATATAATGTAATAATACAATCTAACCTGGAAAGCTGTAGATGATCCATCATACTTTTGTCGAAAATCATGGACATGTTTCTTCTCTTCCTTAGCAAAGGCCAGTCTAGGGTCAATGTATGTTTTGTCCCCAGTCTCTTTCTGCACATAAAGCGTTTTACCAGATTCATCTACTGTTTTGGTCCAGCCAAAAGGCAGCTCCTTAGGTATAACTTTCTTTTTTCCTGTACGAGGATGAGTCCACTGTATTTTATTAGTGCAAGTGCTGTAATGAAATAAGAACATATCTAAATAAAATGCAAGATTCATAAATATTGTAACTTCCTAGATAATAATTGTATATATATAAGTGTACCTGATGAAATACACGTTTCCATCTTCGGTAGACTTTTCTTCCCAACCAGGAGGAAGTTCGTCTTCACTATCCGATTCTAAATTATGCATGCCACCGCTATTAAGTAAAATTAAATTTCTATTTTTTCACGATCAACACTCAAATAAAAATCAAAATGTTTAACTTGAAAATGTAAATAAATAAACGTCATTGTCAAATTCGTCAATGTCAAAATGACTTCAGTATTCAGACAGAAGTTGTGAACATTTACAAAAATAAAGTCAATGTTTTATTATTTTATTTCATACTAACGATCGCCCCGACTTCGTACGGGTAGTAGAGCATATATACAGAGTACATAATGATATATTATATATATAACCGAATTAATATTAATATCCATTACGTATTTTAAAAAATCCAAGCGTATAAATGGCGAAAAGCAATTTTGTTTCATACTATGTAGAGATATATAGGGTAATTTCATATCTTAACTTTAATCATAATTTGATAGTGGAGTGGGTTTTGTCGAGAAATGGATTCCAATTATCTAAACTTTTATTATAACACAAGGGGCAAACGAGAATGTGATTCAAATAATAGTAAATGAATGTACCCATGATTACCATTATACTACCATATCATATTAAATATTATAGTACCATTTCATATTAAAAAGAGTATTAAAAAGAGTTGCAAACGAGATTGCTCCAGTGTTAACGTATATTGTGAACTTGTCTTTCATGCAAGGTATATTTCCAAATCGATTGAAACATTCAATAGTAATCCCACTACATAAAAAAGACGATAAAACCAAATTAAACAATTATAGACCCATTACATTAAACTCAGTATTTTCAAAGGTATTTGAAAGATTGATGCATATTAGACTGAATAATTTTATTAATAAATTTAATATAATTAAAAAGGAACAAAATGGATTCCAAACAAATAAATCGACAACATTAGCTGCATTTTCTGTTATTCGTAATTTGACACATTATATTGACAATAAAAAGAGAGTAACAGGAATATTTTTTGACATGACTAAGGTCTTTGACAATTTAAATCATACTATATTATTAAATAAGTGCGAAAGATATGGGATTAGAGGTCCTACTCTGAAATGGATATCAAGCTTCATCTCAAACAGAAAACAATGTGTACTTATAAATAAAATTGATAATACAAACACAAACAAGTCTTTTAAGTCTAATTATCATTGTAACCTATCGGGAGTCCCACAAGGAAGTATACTAGGACCTCTATTATTCCTCCTATATATAAATGACTTGCCAGATATAACTAAATATCAATGTGTTTTATTTGCCGACGATTTATCAGTTATTATTCCTGAAAATGAAAGAATAAAATCTGACTATGAAATTACTATAAAGAACACAATAAGAGACATAGTAAACTGGTTGCAATACAACGATTTAAGTGTCAATATATCTAAGACTAAGTATATGCAATTCTTGAATTATTCCATGAAACCAATAAACATTTTTATAAAATGTGATAATGAAATTGTAACCGAATGTAAAGAAATAAAGTTTCTAGGCTTTACATTGGACCAAAATTGTAATTGGAAAGGACATACAAATAATGTAAGGAAGCGTATAAACAGTTTTGTGTATGCTCTAAGAAGGTTAAAAAGAGAAGCCAATGAAACCACAGTCCTTACCGCTTACCACGGTTATGTAGGATCGATATTGAGATACGGACTTCTACTATGGGGAAATTCGGTATTAGTAAGAAAAGTTTTTATCGCGCAAAAGAAATGTATAAGAGCGATTTGTGGTGTTGGTCCAACAGAATCTTGTAAACCTCTATTTAAAAAATTAAAGCTTTTGACACTTACCTCAATGTATATCTATGAGGTGGGAATATTTGTAAAAAAACATTTGTATTTATTTACAACAATGACAGAATATAATAAATTCACACCCAGAGACCCCACACAACTGAAACTACCCACCTGTAAGTCAACGCTGCATCAACAAAATTGCGGTGTAATGGCTATTCGAATTTATAATAGGATACCAAAAAAAATAAGAGAATTGCCATTAAATTATTTTAAATTAAAATTGAAAACATGGTTAATAGAAAATAATTTTTACAATATTAATGAGTTTTTGTAAAATACAAATGCTGTGACATTGACTTAGTTGAAATTTAAATTGTAATTTTAATTTTATTTGACATTTTTATCATTTTATTATTTGTAGTAGCTTTATTGACTGTTTGTAATGCATGACCAAAGTGACACTTCGTACTAATAGTGATTTATTGTATATATAATTGAGAATTAAATATATGATGTACCTGTATAAAATAGAAAATGGATAAATTCAATAATTAATATTTGCATGCCATTTGATGTGGCGAAACATAATGGACATCTTATAAACTTCACAAATGCAACACCTTTTCTACAATGTTTCTAGCAAATAAATTTCATTTCATTTCATTTCATTTCATTTCATGAGCACTCACAACACCGAAAGAATTCCGTGTTGCCGGCCTTTTAAAAAGGAATAAATGTGCTCTAAATGTATCTTTTAGCCTAATATTTTAATTTCGTTCGGTGAAATTATTATTTTACAATCAATCATGAATTTTTATAATATTTTTTACTGAAATCAATTAGAAATGTAATTTGTATTAATTTTTATAATATAAATATTGTAATATTAAATTGAAATTATAATTTTAGAGCTTTAGGGATATAGAATGAAAGCACTTGGGGTTCCATTTTTTCTGCTGATTTTAAAAGATGGCAGATCGTAGATTTAGTACAACGTACTTTATACATATGTATATTACTAGACAAATATATATGTTTGTTAGTACTGGGGTTTGTGTGATGCATTACTAGCAATATCAGGTCGACCTTTACGCGGTTTTCCCTGAATTAACCACAATAGTTTCTATTGTGGTTAATTCTGTCAGGCTTTGTAGCATATCAACCTATGTAAATGAAACTATGGTTACTTTTCTGTTACTGGCTAGTTACACTTACGATAGATGTCATTCTATATCTAAATAAAATTCTGCCTATTTTTCTTTTGGACAATTCGTAATCTTATTTTTTTTTAAATATATTCATAATAAATAACACGGACTCTATTTATCATAAAGAAATCTAGTAGAATTCGCCACGATGAGCTAAATGATCTGTTTTCATCGTCACCTATCATCGCTCACTGGTGCCCCGCTAGCGTATATCGATATCGCGGTAGAGATTACCTTCCATTATCGCCCATTAAAAAAAAAGATCATGCAGAGGGGAAAATCTCGGGTAGGCGAACATACCTCATTGTATGTTTTTTCAAGTTTACAACACTGGACTGGAGTGAGACTTGGCAACATTGATTCAAGATGGCTGCTTTGACATATTTATTTGTGTCAAGGTAAATTGTCAAGCTAAATAAAATAATTTCTACGTGTTATATTAATTAATATTTGTCAGTACTATTTAATTTGTGTATTTTTTTTATCTATTATCGTGTTATAGATATAAATCATGGTTATTCCGTAAATTTGTGTTCCTCGCTGGCCTAAATTTGAAAGGATCTTAAAATGCTGGTTAGGACGCTCCCAACGGCCTTTGAATTTACGGAATTTCAATAAAAACGTTTTGTGTTTAATAAAATGCTATCAAATTGAGTGTTTGTAATGATTGTGCGTGTATCTAGAACTTTAATTAGTGTTTAATAAATCACCATGGGGGATAAGATAAATGAAGAGTATTTCCCACCTGGAGCTGCAGCCTTCAATTACAACAATGTGGTGAGTTTTATTGATGTTATTGCACTTTTACCTTTTAAAACAATGAAAAATTTTCTATATAAAACAGGTCATTACATTGTTTACATTTTAGAATTTATCATAATTAGTTATTTATGGTGTATATTTGAAGTACACTTGTCTATCTTCAGACAAAGCTCTTGCGACGTAGGCAGACACACTCGAATATCCTCTGTACTGACAGTTTTGTTTTGTAAATTAATTTAGAAGTATTTGTTATTAATGTAGAAAATTTAATAAATTATAGAATATCTAAGTAGATATGTAACAACATTAAAAGGATGTCATAATTGTGAAAGCAGTCCAAGTAAGTAGGACAGATTTGTTAGACTAACTAGACTTCAGTTGACATATTTTTGTAGATAGTTCTCAATTTACTTTAATCTGCGTTTCCTTTAAGTAGTATAATGAAAATAGTCCATCAATGTTTTTTTAGAATTGTGAATTCTAGTAAGTCTATTTAATCTAGAACTTTTTTGTTAGTTGCATTTAAATGAAGTACATATTTAGTTTGTTAAAAAACATAGATATTTATTTATTTTATTCTTTATTGCACCAGATGAAGAATAATATAAGAAAATATCTATATTATACTTATACAATAAAAATGGCAGTCTTCTCGCTAAAGCAATCACTTCCAGGCTATTTTTGAGTAAAGTAGAAAAGTAAACAATGGTAGCTATTTAATTCAAGAAGTATATTTAATAAAAAAAAATGCTCATATTAATAAAACTTCATATGCATACAATATATATTATATACACATCATATACTTTACATAAAGTGTTTCAATTTTTAATTGATAACCTATTTATTATATTTTCTTTGTGATATTACCCTAAGGAAATTGTGCAAATTAAAAAAATGTAGTATATTAGTGTCTTGACTAACTTTTTTCTAATATCTTGGTAGGAATATAAGCACTTATCAAGTTGAAACTACTAGAGCATTGTAAAACTACAGAAAAATGAACAGGGTGGAGTACATTTTAATATTCTATTTTTTATTTTAGTTAGTTGTTTTAGTTCATGTTTTTTTGTCATCAATTAAGAAGATATGATGTACTTGCTTATCTTAAAGGGATACAAGGGTCCCCACCCTTGTATCCCTAGTGAAGAATGAAATAATAATATAAAGTCAGTTTGCCTGTCATAACAAGTTCACTAGGAACTGACTATAATAGGTTTCCCTAACAATTGCTTAGAGGTCAACATGACAGATTATATAGCTAGCAATGGGACCACCAGTCTCTATTACTAACAATCCTTCGCTTTTATTATTTTATGGACTAAATTAATCAGCATTCTTTATAAAGTTGTATAATGAATAATGACAAATAATATTGAAAACAATTATTGAAACTATCATTATTATAATAATGTTTGATCATTATGATTTGGT